TATTTAACCACTTTTAATTTACCAACATTATCAAATAGTTTTAATAGTCAAAACCAGAAACATTTAAACAAAATATCTGATCTCTTTTTAATAAAATAAACATGAATGTTAAAGAGACTCTTAAACTTGATAAATAAAATGTTACAAAGTCTGTGGAATGGTAAAGTGTAGACGCTGAACAATCTAAGCAAACTTTAAGGTAGATCAACATCTGTAAGTTTTGAATAAAAATTATACAGAGTAAACCTCAAACTCTGTATACAAAACAAATTATGATAATCAAATCTGCGCTTTCAAGTAAATGAACTAACCATTATTATTCAAATACATACTGCAACATTTCAAATTTTGAAGTTGAATGACTATATTACCTCCTAAGCTAAAAAGAAAATCTTTCAGAATGGGCGCTAGTGGCTGGGATGCTCAAGAAAAGAAACCAAAAAGCCACTCTTGCGACATCCTTACATCCTTTTTGATTTACAGTCTTCTCACTGCTGCTATGCGGCATTCATTTCGAGTTGTTATTCCGACCTGAAGCGACAAGCATGAGCATGTGGTATCCTTCACCGTTTACAATGAGCTTTGCGCTCGTGCTTCCCTAGTGTCTCTCGTAACTAGGCGACCATCAACCATTTTCTCAGAGGATGACAAACAGACAAACCATTGCTGCAGCTCATTGAGAAAAGTAAAAAACACCGCAGTTTTTGTTTTTGGGTGTGCTGTGTTTGAGGTAATTTGTGTGATTGTGACTTTAAAATAGAAGTAGTTTTACCTACTATTACTAGTTTACCAAACTATTAACATTATCTAAAATTAGTTTGATAAATATCTGTATGCTGAAATGGAGGTTAGAGGTTTTTTACTTCTTTTCTCGGCCAAAAACATGGTCTCACATCATTAGTGCTATGTCCATCTTCTATTTTACATAAATATAAAAATAAATCAAAACTCAAGAGATTATTGTGTGTTTTATAATATGCTGTAATAAATTTAAACATTCATAGCGGTTCTTACGATTTACCACGTATACATAAACATTACATGAAACATTAGGTCCTGAAAATTGACTTGACAGTCCTGGAAAAATCATGGAATTTTTGTAGTAAAAATGTGTATGAACCCTATTGGCATTGCTTCCAAGATGCATGCTCAGCAGCCACATTTTAATAAAACTATAGCGCTTCATAACAATTTTTATTTTTTTTTAATCGAAATTGATAATGGTGTTCGGTCAAGAAATATCAATACCAATTTTATCACCCAGCCCTTCACTTAAGAAATAGTACTTTACAACTAGTAATCTATAAACGCAAACCTTTAAATGCACTTTCGCTTAGATGACTGACGAAATGATTTTCCCGACAAGCAGAAAATCAATCCAAACACACAAACTCGTGCTAAGTATAAAATAACACTCACGAGATGTATACCGCTATCCATCACTGAATGCTGAGGTCACTCAAAGTAAATGTTTTGTTGTCAGTTTGGTTTTGGTCTTTAAGAAACATTTTATAGTATTATTAGTGTTGAAAACAGCTTAATATTTTATGTAAAAACAGGATCCATTTTTTATTTAAATGTTTTAAATTATTTAAATGTTTATTTAACTGTTTAAAAGAACACTTTTTGTTTTGAAAAAGTCATTACTGTCACTTTTGGGAATAATAAAGTGTTTTTATTATCTTCAGCCGTTCAGGGTAACAATGAGGTCTCCATGTGGGATATGGAGACCGGAGACAGGAAGTTCACCCTGTGGGCGAGCTCTGCGCCTCCGCTTTCGGAGATGCAGGTATGGTGTCTCCATCACAAAACACATTCTCAGTAATAAAATAATTCAGTAATGCTTACCTGCTGTTGTCCGCAGCCCTCTCCACACAGTGTACATGGCATATACTGCAGCCCTGCGGATGGAAACCCTCTCCTCCTCACAGCCGGATCTGACATGAGAATCAGGTGTGCCTAATCACTGTCCAGTGACACTGCCAACTAATGGCCTGGCATGTATAATACAGCTTTTTTTTTTCTTTTTTTTTCCTGATTCAGGCAAATAGTGATTAATACTGTATCACTGTACAGTACATGAAATATTCAAAAACCTTTTTTCATTTTTAGTACATTGTTGCCATGTCAACATACTCATAGATTTGCAGTCCTGGCCACCCACAGTATGATCATTTATTAATAGTCCATTTTTTAGACTCAGTACGTTATTATTGGATGCAAATGTTTCGGGTACCTTCGGTTATTTGGGGTAGTGATAGGAGAAACAAGCTAAACTCTTTTCACCCCAATTGTTAAGTTCGCACTTGAAAATTATGCATGATATTTGTATATTATATACAGTTAAAGACAAAATTATTAAGTCTGCCTGTGAAATTTTAATTGAAAATTACATATTTTTAAATATTGCTGTTTAACATAGGGTTTTTTGTCCAGCTTATTTTTTAGCATAGTTTTAATTACTAACTTCTGTTGTATAATTATTTTGTCTTTCTCATGATGACAGCACATAATATTCTACTAGTTGTTTTACAAGATACTGGTATTCAGCTTAAAGTGTAGTTTAAAGGCTTAACTAGGCAAGTTATGTTAATTAGGCAAGTCTAAAGGGGAAAAAAAAAACCTTATATAAATCTAATTTGAGATCTATAAACACTTGGTAATGAGTTGAGCTTCACAACTAGTGTTTCAAAAGCATCCATCACCTGCTAAATATGATTGTGTGATAAATACTACAGAAAAATAAATGTAAATTCTACATTGAATAATTTAGTTCAGACATGAACAAAAACAATGTCAATTCTAGATTAGTACTTCGTTCTTGTAGAAGTTAAATATTTAAGCTTGTAGATGTATTTTACTTGGAATTGATCTAGGTTTACAATGATTCTTTGAGGAAATGTCTAAATAAAACTTTGTATACTGGTGTTCCCATCACGCTTATACAGTTTTCAATTTGTATTTACTGTTTTTTAAATACTTTCACTACAGGTGTATTTCTACTCTGTAATTTAAAACTCAAAACGACACAATGATACTAAAAATAATGACTGTCAACATAAAGAAATCAATTATCGATGTCTCTGCTTTCAGTAGTGCTTTCAGGCACTTCATTGTTGTTGTTTTTACCTAAATGTTAGGTAAATTATACTGTACATTTAAAACAAATGCAGTCCTTCATTTTTTCACTCGCAAAGAGAGTAAAATGTACTTAAAACAAAGTATTACAAATTAAACATCAAATGACTACGTAAAAATGACTCAACAATGTTACTTTGACGTATTACACGGTTTTGTGGCATACTCGATTTTGATTGTTCTGTCACGACATTTCAATGTATGTTCCTAAATAAGTTTAAGTCCATATACTTACATCCACATTCATATGCATTTGCTTGTCTTTCACGCCATGTTTTTGACTGTTAGATGCCGTCTAATGAAAAACACGTAGGTTATTATAAACTTCACTGAAATGGTTTCGTTTCTGTCAGCTTTGCGTTTTTGTCTGTTTGGCGCCATCTTGTGAGTGAATAATCCGCAGGGAATGCTTCTGCAGTTACATCACCCTGTTAACTCTAACATAACTTAAGCAAGTCCATACATGAAATTCACTTAAAAATCCTTAAAGCAAATGTAGTAAAGTGAAAACATTTTATGAATAAATTTGACTCGTTTTTTTTTTTCTTTCTTAGAGTGTACTGCTGATGCAGATGTATTGATCATGTTATGTATGTAATTGAGTGTGCTTTGAATAATGTCCACAGGTTTTGGGATTTGGCTTACCCTGAGAGATCATACATCGTCGCAGGCGGTGCTAACGACTCCCTCCACTGCCCTTCTGTTTTCTACAACCGCAAGATCATCGAAGGAACAGAAGTGGTTCAGGTCTGACGCTCATTTCAGCTGATTCGTGTGTTTCTTTACACTTACATTTTCAGCTGATCTTCTCTTCTGTCTTTAAAACTCACCAGGAGATTCACAGTAAACAGAAGAGCGGCTCCACCGAGGATACTCCTCGCCGAGGCCCAGAATCCCTTCCAGTGGGCCACCATGACATCATAACAGACATCGCCACTTTCCAGACCACACAGGGCTTTATAGTCACTTCCTCTAGAGATGGCATTGTCAAAGTCTGGAAGTGAGAGTCACACTTTGCCAGCATTTATTACATGGACATACAGCACATCCAATCAAGTGGGATGTACATTTAAATATATAGCTAATATAATTAAGTCATCTAGGATCAAATCCATCTTTAAAGAAAAGATTTGTAACACCAGTTTTGTGTGTGAACAGTTTGGGATTTTTGTTTTTCTGTGCAATGGCTTCATGTGGATTTTAAGGTCATGTAATGTCACCACACTGAAGGAAACAGGAAATGGTGTCCTTTGAACAGTGTTTGCACACTGTACTTATAGTGTTATTTCTGCACATTTAATTTTTTTAAAGCCTAAATGGAAGAGATGGATAAGGATGAAGACTCCATTGTAATCACTGCGTAATAGTTATTGATATTGCTGAATAAAATGTCAAAAGAAATGACTTGCTTTGTATCTGAAAGACAATTAGCAAAGCATGTTTAGCCTTGTTTAAAGAAAATAGGAATTGATTAATCTTAAATTTACTTGATATTTCTATAAAACATCTTCATTTTACTCTAAAAACATCCTGTAGGTGTTAGGACAAACTTTCTTGTTTCTAGTCTCAATATGACAACATATTTAGAGCAGTGTTTCCCAACCCTGATCCTGGAGGCACACCAACAATACATATTTTGGATGTCTCTATTATCTGACCCATTAATTTCAGCTTTTGGAGACTCTTCTAATGTCCTGACAAGTCGATTCAGGTGTGTTTGATTAGGAAGTTGAAAATGTGTACTGTTGGTGTGACTTCAGGAACAGGGTTGGGAAACACTGGTGTACAAGACACTACCTCATGAAAAAACAATATTGTTAAAATAAATCTAAATTGATAAAACAGATTCCCAGTCACTGAAATCAAGTACAAACCCTACTATTTTATTTTTGAAAAACCTGGTTTTACATAAACATACACACATATACATCAGGTTACAAAAGTAAAATGGCTTGCAAGGAATTTTTCCACAATTTGTAAAGCCTAAGAAATGCACAGACCTCATCAAACGTGAAGTATAGCAATTTAAAAATTATTTTCATACATCATATCAAACATCTTATTGCACGTTATTGGTGCCGTCACAAAACATATTTACTAAAAAACTATGTCTATGTACATTTGTAATTTGGTAATGCATTACAATAAAGTAACATTTTTTAACATCTGTTGATATGAGCTAACAATTTTATTTTTGATGTTATTTTAATGCTATTTAGCAACATTTAATCAAGTTTAATTCTTAAAAATTTCTTAAAGGCACAATATGTAATTTTCACCACTAGAAGTTGCAAATTCACAACAAAGGCTTGGTTTGATGAAGGTGTTTCCCTGTTTTCCATAAAACCGAACAAGAAATTGAGGGGTTGTGACTTGATTTGCATGGTGATACAATGATGTGTCCATGTCACTAGATAAAATATATTATGAGCATTATTCAAAATATTTGGGATAATGTAAGTACGTAAATCAGCAAAAATGCAAAAAACTGTTCTAGTGGTTTTTGGATTTTTTATGAAAAATTTAAATATTGTGCCCTTAAAGCAGTGATCCCCAACACCCAGGTACCAGTCTGATCAATTATTACCGAAGAAACAGAAAAATTCATTCTTTATTTCAGATTATTTTTTATTCTTCATATTTTTACAATTAAAAAAAAATCTTTTATTTTGAAAAATGACCGTATTCTCGGTTACAACTGTATGCCAAAAATTTAACACACGCTAACAAAATAATTAAGAAACAGACGTCTTTAAAAAGTTTCTTGGCAAAAGGGGAAAAGGCTCAGAGAAGGACCAAAGGCAGTATGGGTCGACCCATTTGTCAATAAATTGGGTGAATCCTGCATGTCTGTGCAAGAAGAAGATCAACTGCTGGAAATGCAAACGACGGCAGCCATTCTAATATTGCATCTTTTCGCCGCACAAATTCTATATTTCCAATGGAGGTGCATGGCTTGTGCACCCATATATTGAGCGACACGTGCAAGCGGCTGGACCTAACCCTAACCAAAGAGCTTGGAATGACCAAGAGGCGATGCCCAATAGAACTTTCAATTGCAACAGCAGCGCCCAGCAACAGCCCCGGATTCCGCCATTTTGGAGTGAAAGCAGTCGGCTTTCCATTGGATCTTATTGCTATCGCGATGGCAAGCAGCTGCTTTGTTTTTTATTTATTACAATACAACACTTACTACCACAATCATCAGCACTTTTAATAGTTTATTTTACAGACTTATAATATGCTGTTGTTCTATTAGAGTTTTCATTCCAAAATGGCCGCCGCGCCCTCTAGTGGCTGTTTCCCAAATTGTACTAGAGTGTTTTCTCTTGGTGATTCTATGTTCTTTGCCCTAACCCAGTTGAACATCATCAGAATGCTGCAAGCACACCACAAGTCACATGACGAGAACTGACCAATCAGCTTCAGTGTGTTTTTTTTAATCATTTAATTTCTCTATAAAATAAAACTTTCATCAGAAGTGCTGCAATGTTTTGTCAGCTTGTCATCCTATGAAAAAATGGTTGATGGTCGCCTAGCAATCTACATATACCCACCACCCACGCCTAGGTAAAACTGTCAAGCGTTGACCAGTCCACGGTGATAAAAGATTGGGCATCACTGTTTTAATGCACATTATCAATAATCTATTGATTTATCCACTAACAATAATAAAGATTAATGTTATAAAACATTTACTGTTAGTTTCTCAGTAACTGACACATTAATGTTAACAAATATGACCTTATTGTAAAGTATTACAGAGATTATTCTACACACTTATAATGTCTAGACACAATGCTTAACTTCATAATTGCCGTGAACAAAGCAAAACGATAAATATTTCCTGTTTGTGTATGGATTTCTTTTGTTGCTGTAGACAGACCTGCACAAGTACAATTTTCAGGCTTCAAGAAAATAATTGCTAAATTCAAAAGGTGAAGAAAGTCTGTTCAAAATGTTTTATACAGGTTGAATGTCCTTTAGACAAAGGGCCTCACACTCCGCCCGCGTTTCAAACCTGTTTTTGTTTCCTTCACATCCTCCAAACCAGAACTGAGAGCATTCATTCTGCTGGATGTCATAATACCAGCTTAAAACATAATTACTGCAGGGCCCCACATCCTGTTTCATGAGGCAGGCATCTGTAAGTGGAAACATCAGGACAGAGCTCAGGATTCATGCACGGGACACCATATCAGTTCTTTCAAATGACTTCACAGAGAAAGCATGCAGTCGTTTTCAACTATGAGCAAAAGCCAGACAAGGCAAGAAAATGTTACAAATGTGGCTCAATCCTTACCATTAAATAAAGCCGTTTCAACTTGTGTCTGTGGGATTACTTCAGGATCTGGAGATGAAATAAGGAGTATTTCAGCATTTTACAAAGTATAGTGGTGTGGTTTGTAACTTTCTGTTGGACTTTATTTTTTATTAAATTAATTTACTGACATTTTTTTAGGGATTTTTTAAAACGGTAAAGTATATTGATTGACTTTATCGCCTTGTTTAATGTCTGCTGATACTGCTCCTTCAACAGACATTTAACTGATTATAAGAAAATATATGTCTATTGCAAGTACATGTCAACTTACCCTCACCCCAACCTAACAGTCTACTTATAATCTAATGAGAATTAGTTGGCATGTAGATGCAATGTAACTTAAGTTCAACAAAATAAAGTAATACCTATTGGTCTAATGCCATGATCAAATTAGCAATATTTTATATGCAGAAAAAATGCCAATAGTGTAAAAATGCATAAAGTATTATTTTTTTGCCAACAGAGAGTCATTGTATCTGAACACAAAGTTCGACATGTGGAACTTTTTTCCATTTTTGCCACAAAATGGGAAAAAAAAATGTGTGTATTTTTAAGAGATTTCTTGATTTTTTTCACAGATGTATTTATACAAAAATTCATAAATTATTTATTAAAAGTTGATTCAAAGCTGCATCTTTAAAAATATCAAAATTACCCCGATTCAGAAATCAATGAACCAATTTAATTCTTAATATAGTTATTCTTATCAGCAGTTATTCTTATTAGCTTATTACTCTTTCTACACAAAATCCAGTTATACAGTATGTGAATTACATTCAATAAAAATAAATGAACGAAAGAATTACTCCAATTTTTATTTATTTTTTTTGCTTCAGATTTAAAAAGAAGCTTTAAATAGCTTTTCAGTACTGTTAATCCTTTAGCACAGTTTAAATTTACTACCCTTTTGTTATGTTCGGGATGAAAACATCCACTGAATTAAACTGCTGTAACATTGCATCAGATTGTATTTTAATTTTTTTTTGCATAAATCTGTTAATCAACCACAGTCCTGATCAAAACTACTAAATTGTTTATAAAATTGCAGAATTTTAACTCTTTAATTGCCACTCCAAAATTACTTTTTATAGTGAAATACGTCATTTTGTGTGTGCTTTTTTCACCAAATCAGTGACAATATTTATGAATTTGGCAATTAAAGAGTAAAAATCCTGTAATTTATTTTAAACACTTAGTAGTTTTGATCAGAACTGAGGTTGATAACCAGATTTATGCAAAAAAAAAAATAATAATAAATAAAAATAAAAAAAACATATATATATATATATATATATATATATATATATATATATATATATATATATATATATAATTATATATGGTTTCCGCTACATTCATTCTGCCATGGCGGGGTGCCACACCAAAATTCATCGCCACGGCTACATTACAGCTTCTCATTCAAAACATTAAGTCATTGTTGTTTTTTTAAATAACGGGTTAAAATCGAACCAAAACACATTAAAAAATAAGTGAATTATAACAGAGCAAGCTTTTCTGTAACCATAGTAGTGCTGTGCGTGATTTATTTATACTAACTGACAGGTGAGTGTTGCCTAAGGCCAGCAAACACGACGTAGCTTTCAGTTAAAATGAACACAGTATCCATTATTATACTTTATTTGTAGATAAAGCTCTGTGGTTCTGCATACAATGACTTTATCTTGCTGGAGTTTAAAGTTGTTACATTTTACTTCAGGATTCAAAAATGGCGCTCTGTAGGTCTATTGGAGAAATTCATAAATATTCCTAGCAAATCTTTTAAATGTTGGAGACTTGTTACATAAACGCACTAAATTGCACTTCAGCTGCGTTTATTTGAGAGCGCACAAGAAGATCTGCGCTTGAACAGCGTATATTTGAGGACATGCAAAAAGTTTTGTGCATGAACAGAGGAAATTGGCGCACGAGCAAAGAGATTTGCATGCTTGTATAACAAATGCGTTCTCGACTTGTGATACTGCCCTCACGACATTTCTCCATTTGCATTTGTCACTGAAATAACGGCATAGGTAGTCGGTAGATTAGTGTAAAAGACCTGCCGCCACAGTTGGAATCACTGTATATATATATATATATATATATATATATATATATATATATATATATATATATATATATATGATGCATTTTTACAGCAGTTTAATTTAGTAGATGTTTTTATCTCTAACATAAGGAAAGGGTGGTAAATTTACCCGATGTATTGTTGAGTTAAAAAATTCAAAGCATTTTCTCAAAATAAGATTTGTCACTAAAAATCATCCCATTAGCTGAAACACAAAAAGGTTATGGCCAAATTAAGACTCAAAATCACCTCAGAGTGGATGAAAACATCCCCAACAGTACATGAGAGTTAACAACCTGACATTGCCCATGCTTGGTGTTTAGATGATAATACTGCATAATTATGTCCTGTATGATTAACTCAATGACAAAACTAACACAACAAAAATGACAAAAGCGAGAAAACAGCAGTAAAGAAAGCATACAATCATTGCTGTACATATGTCAATATGATTGCAAAAGTCAGTTAGGAAAGTGTGTTAAAGAGGACATATTATGCCCCTTTTTACAAGATGTAAAATAAGTCTCTAATGAGTATTTATGGGATTTTTCAACTCAAAATACTCTCTAAACATTATTTTATAACTCTTTGAATTTGTCCCGTTATAGGCTTTGATCCTATTAGTGCAGTTTTGACTGTTCCTTTAAATTCAAAATGAGATTGTGCTCCCAGTCCTTTTGTCAAAAGAGCTACAAATGCCTGTGCATTAGCATAGTGAGTAGTGACAGATTCAAAACACGACTAATGTTATCTCCAGTGTGTGAATTATACATTGATGATCAGGGGGGTCAACTGTTTCGGTTAGTTTGTGTTATACCTGCATCAGTCATTTATGTATTTTTTTTAATTACATTTAGTTTATTAATAAAACATATTTAAACTTTCAGCAGTTTGAGAGATATTCTGACCCGACAGTATCCTGTGATTATCTTTTTCAGATGTTAATGTAGGTTAAACTACTATGCCTCTAGTTTGATTGTACTTTCAGGCTACAGTATATGTAGATACAAAGACCTATTATACTAGAAAACAGTCTTGTGAACACTATGTCTATTGGTGCTCCAGATCTGCAGCTTTCAGACTTTTTTCTCGAACAGACTGATAGGCGCAATGGTTTGAACTGTTATAGGCGTGGTCAAATGTATATTTATATTATCTATTATTTTAAATCTTAACAATATTATTTAAATTACAGATCAGAGTGAAAGATTTCTCAGTATTTAACAACTAACCCCCCTCCCCTATACGTCTTGTTTTGACCTCCTTCAGGGGGGGGTCAAGAGTCAATTAGGGGGTAAATTCGGGTGTAATTCGCACCCTGGTTATCTCTGTGAAAAACTAAAGAAGTGTCTCAGATAAAGGCAGTTTTTTGAAAACTATGGTGTATATTTGTGCATCCTAAAACTCAACACTTATCATGCTTCTTAGTCACTGACATCTTCAGCAGGTATGGTGCAAAAACTTTAATGGTCATCGGCTGCTTCTCACTCAGGGCTGTCAATGCTAATGAGGGAGAGATAGTCACTAATGGGCAGAACTTACCCCCTCTGATGACACTTACAAAGGGAGAATGTCAATCAAAGTGTTTCTGCAGACTGTTTTTATTATGTGTGATTATAACTAAATTTTATCCATTAGAGGATGGCTATATTCACACACTGTAGCCACACAACTGTGGTAAAACCGCTTACCAATGTGATTTTTGCATATAGCTCCCCTTTCAGACACTTATTAAACACTGCACCTTATGTTCAAGGTAAGCTTCCATTCAACTGCATTTACTTTAGACTTTTTACACTGATTGCTAAACTAGTTTTGATATAAAGACAAAGAACTTACTTTTTTTACCACAGGTCTGAAGGCACTCCCTCTCTGAACTAAAACGGTTACCATTACCACCACAGCCGCCGTACCAGAAGGGTAAACAACCACGGACTGCTGGATTGTAATACCAGCGTTGCATATAATCACCACAGACGGTGCCACGGTCAGAACTCTGGCGACACAGACCTGAAAACAAAAGAATTTGGTCACACTTAACAATAAGGTTTCATTAGTTTGTGTTGGTTATTGTATTTACTAACATAACTGAGTATGAATAATACTTGTGCAGCATTTATTAATCACAGTTCAACGTTTACTAATGTCTTATTTATGCTTGATAACATTAGTTGACGCATTGAGAGTTGACATGAATTAACAACGAATAAATACTGTATGAAATGTAGTGTTCATTGTTTGTTCATGTCAGCAGATGCATTAATTAACATGACCTAATACATGCACAATACTTTAAGCTAACTTTTAAATCAATTTGCTAAATGGCTGTCTTTTAGGGGAAAGATTGGCAAGGTTTATAAGGACGTACTGTCTGTATTGTCAGCAGGAGATTGGATTATTGAGTCTCCACGACCTGAAGACTGCTGGTCCTCAGTCTCTGGCGCAGTATCTTCTTCCTCCATGTCCTCTTCTACTTGAACATCTGGATATACAGTGGAGAGCACAGGAACCCTTGAAAAAAACATACAAAACCACTATTTATTCTGTTTGTTTAGCAAGGGATTGAGTAAAATGTTAAGGATTGATTTACTCAGTGAAGGCCTGATAAAATTTTTTACAGGTTTCAAATAAAAATATCGTCATTTATACTTTAGAAATTTTTTGATTATAATTTCTTTTCATTTGTTGCTGGTTTGTTTTTTTAAATTAAAATATGAAAATTAAAAAATGGTAATCTGTTGTCGGGCTGCACGGTGGCGCAGAGAGTAGCACGTTCGCCTCACAGAAAGAAGGTCACTGGTTCGAGCCTCGGCTTGGTCAGTTGGCATTTCTGTGTGGAGTTTGCATGTTCTCCCCGTGTTCGCGTGGGTTTCCTCCGGGTGCTCTAGTTTCCCCCACAAGTCCAGAGACATGCGGTACAGGTGAATTGGGTAAGCTAAATTGTCCGTAGTGTATGTGTGTGAATGAGAGTGTATGGATGTTTCCCAGTGATGGGTTGCAGCTGGAAGGGCATCCGCTACGTAAAACATATGCTGGATAAGTTGGTGGTTCATTCGGCTGTGGCGACCCCAGATTAATAAAGGGACTAAGCCGAAAAGAAAATTAATGAATAAATGATCTAAAAAAAAAAAAAAAAAAACACAAATTATAAAAAGAGGCATCTTTTTGATATTTTACACAAAGAATGCTCTTATTTTATGCTTAACTTTTATTTTATTTATTTTTAAATTAAGAAGTCATCAGTATTTTACAAAACAAATTATTATTCATGATTTTCATCAATCATTTATTTATTTAAATCTGCATCTATTTAAATAACTATTTATATGTGTAAATGACCTTAATTCAAAATTTAATTCACAATTGCCATTCTAATTCTGATTCTTATTATCACCTGCCTTTCTACACACACTGTGTTCATTATACAGTATGTAAATTACATTTAATTTAAATGAATAATATACAGGTGCTGGTCATTTAATTAGTATATCTTCAGGTTCAACTAGACTGAGAGATCACTTAAAGGCCTTTGCAGGTGTTAATTAGCTGATTAGAGTGTGGCACCAGGTGTCTTCAATATTGAACCTTTTCACAATATTCTAATTCTCTGAGATCCTGAATTGGGGCTTGTCATCAAAACAATCAAAACTAAAATAAATTAACACTTGAAATACAGCAGTCTGTGTGGAAAGAATGTATACATTATACAAATGTCATTTTTTAAAAATTGGAATTAGTGAAATAAATCAACTTTCTGAAGATATTCTAATTATATGCCCAGCACCTGTAATACATTTTTCGAGGTTTACTTTATCAATCTGCATCCTATTAAATAAACACCCACATCCTTTCTACACATTTATTAATTTATTTTCTTTTTACACATACACTACGGACAACTTAGCTTACCCGATTCACCTGTACCGCATGTCTTCGAACTTGTGGGGGGAAACCCAGAGGACACGGGGAGAACATGCCATCTCCACACAGAAATACCAACTGACCCAGCCGAGGCTCGAACCAGCAGCCTTCTTGCTGTGAGGTGACATCGCTACTCACTCTTTCTACACAATTTACCTTTATTTTTAAACAAATTGTAAAAAATTAATTAATCAAAGTTTTATTAAGGTGCACTAACCTTATTAAATAAAAACCTAATTTGGTATTTAAACTATGTTAGCTTTATTAACATGATCATTTCTAAATTAAATAAATAATTGACTCTTTCATTCATTGCAGGTTTATTAATCTCCAACTTACTAAACAAGAACCTGCAAATAAATAAATAAACTAAGCACATATATGAATACTTTCCCTCATAACTCAAGTCAGTGATTAATGCTCACAATAACCGCTCTGACCTCAAACAAACAGATGTTTCACATTAGATGATGACAGTGTACGTTTTGTCATTTGATACCTGTACACTGGTCTCTCTGCAGCTTCAAAGTCCAAACGCTGGCCTGGACTTTCTTGAAAATTCCTGCACTGACTCTGGAGTGATGGATGAGGGTAGGTGTTCATATTCTCTGCATTCATAAAGAAACTATATATTAACACTCACAGCTAGACACTCAAAATGAAAACACATGAAAAGTCAATCGCAACGCAAAAGTTCACCCAAAACTATAATATTTTCATCATTCACTCACAGCCATATTGCTTAAATAAACATGATGCATGTTTTGAAAAACAAAAAGCTTATATATATATAATTTACAGCTTGTGCTGTACATCTGATCTATGAAAATCTCAGACATGAGAACAGCACGCTACTAATGGAACTCACTTTCAGGCTGATTTGGCTTTTTGAATAAAATGACTGCAGAACAACTACACAATTATGTTTGTTCCTAGAAAGAATTGATATCTACTAGAAATTCTAGTCATAATATTAATTCCTCACATTTATATAACTCTTTTTAGCACACTAAAAAACACTTTACACATTGGCGGAATCTTCTCATCCACCACCTGTGGGCAGCATCCACCTGGATAACGCGATGGCAGCCATATTGCGCCAGACCGCACACCACACACAAGCTGTTTGGTGGAGAGGAGACAGTGATGAAGCCAGTTATGATATGGGGATGGTTAGGAGGCCATGATGGACAGAGGTCAGTGTGCAAATTTGGCTAGGATAACGGGGTTAAACCCCTAATCTTTTTCGAAGGAAATCCTGGGATTTTTAACGACCACAGAGAGTCAGAACCTTGGTTTAACGTCCCATTTAAAAGACAGCACTCACTGAGCAGTATAGAGTCCCCTTCACTATACTGGGGTGTTAGGACCCACACAGACCACAGGTTGAGAGCTCCCTACTGGCCTAATACCACTCCAGCAGCAACCTAGCTTTCCTATGTGGTCTCCCATCCAAGTACTGACCGGGTGCAGCCGTGCTTACGTAGCTTCAGTGGGCAGCCATGTGAGAATTGCAGAAAGCTACCTGTCATAGTCCTCAGTTGGACTCCTTGGGGTAACAAATGTCTTACCATTATCAACCGACTGTGGCTTTATCTTTCTGTTAGTTTTTTTAATGGTTTTCTGATGGCACGTTTTTGCTGTTGCGTTCTGTTACTAAGGGCCAATCACACTGGATGATTTTCTGTTCTGAAAAAAGTTATAATAATAATCGCTTTAAAGTTGTCTAAATGTAGTTCTTAGCATAGTACTAATTTATCAACTCTCACATGGCTGCTTACGGAAGCTGCACCCAGTCAGTGCCTGCATAAGAGACCACATGGGAAAGCTAGGTTAGTGCTGGAAGTGGTGTTAGTGAGACCAGCAGGGGCGCTCAACCTGCAGTCTGTGTGGGTCCTAACGCCCCAGTATATTGATGATAATCAATAAAAAAAATCACAGGATATCTTTCGAAAAGTGTAGGGGTTTGGCATCCTGGACAAATTTACCCACTGACCTCTGTCCATCATGGCCTCCTAACCATCCCCATATAATAACTGGCTTCATCACTCTGTCTCCTCTCCACCAATCAGCTGGTGTGTGGTGTACAGTCTGGTGCAATATGGCTGCCGTCTCATCATCCAGGTAGATGCTGCACACTGGTGGTGGATGCGGAGGTTCCCCCCAATGTGAAAAGCACTGTAAGTGTCTAGAAAAGAACTGTATAAATGTAAGGAATTATTAATATTATTATAAAAAATAAGATTTAATATTTACAGTAGAAAATTTACAAAGAAATCTTCATGAAACATTGATTTTTAGTCATATTTTTGATCATTTTGGCCACATTTTGACCAATAAAATGTGTATACCTGCGCAACATTTGTGGTCCAGGGTTACATTTTAGTCAGGTTCTGTTGACATTGCCCTGGTTTACCAAAAAGCATGGTATAAACTGAAATTAGACTTGTTCCTCACATAAAGCTATTGTAAAGCTATAAGGCTCACAATGATACCTTTTATGATGTTTGTTGCATTTTCTGAGCAACATTAGAGAGGCAAGATAGCCACCAGAATAACTACTGCAATTCTTTTGACCCAAATCAAATCAGCATTAACATGAAACACTCCTTACTGCTCAGTATATGGAAGAAAGTCCTCATGAAGCGTTGTGTGTACTCCTGTTCTCCATGTTTCAAGTGGCCCAGGTGAATGATGTGCTGTTCTAAAGGATAGCTGGCAAGCTCCTCCACCTGACTAGAGGCGATGGAGTCTCCCACTGTCAAGGTGAAAAGAACAATGCCGCTACACTTCGCCAACCTGGAGAAAGAGTCCAGACGTTTTTTCTCCTGTAACGCTGTCTCCTCCCCAATGATGGCCAGCAGCATCTTGTTCTTGCGACTTTCTGGAACTGCGTTGAAACACTTCTTGAAAGCAAACTCCAAAGTAGAACCCAGTTCATGAGATCCTCCGGTTTGCTTTAGTTTTTGGATGATGCTTGTCTTCATTAGATTGCGATCAGAGAACTCACGTAAGCTGAATATCTCGTGTGCAGGCTGGGGGTCACTATAGGTAGACGTCTGCTGGTAGAGAGCCACTCTGGCCTGTCTGTCAGCCCTGGTGGGTTGACTGCTCACAACAATTTGATCGAGCACACCGCCGAGCACCTCCTTGACACCCTTGAACTCGTCAGCCAGGATGCTACGGGACCCGTCCACAACCATCACAAAGTCCATGTCCAGCTCCTGAGGTGCAGATGGCAGGTTGGTGCCCTCACATTCTCTAGCTGGTCTGCAGGGATCTTGGATGTGAAAAGATGTTATCATACAATAAATAGGTGGAAAAAGTTCTGGAGAAACAGTTTATTAAAAGTACAATACAAAAACAAAAGTATATAAAAAATACCAAACCTCGGGTGTACATTTTTTTCAATTATTCCTTAATTACTGTGATTGAGATTTATACATCATAAAAAAACTGTTTGAAAATATATGTAATATGAGACTTTAAAAAAGTAATACTGAAAAAACTGACTTTAAATTTGGCAAAATATAATATAATATAATATAATATAATATAATATAATATAATATAATATAATATAATATAATATAATATAATATAATATAATATAATATAAAATGTATTATAATATAATATAATATAATATAATATAATATAATATAATTTAATATAATATAATATAAAATAATATAATATAATGTAATATAATATAATATAATATAATATAAAATAATATAACATAATATAATATAATATAATATAATATAAAATAATATAATATAATGTAATATAATATAATATAATATAATATAATATAATATAATATAATATAATATAATATAATGTAATATAATATAATATAATATAATATAATATAATATAATATAATATAATATAACATAATATAATATAATATAAATGCCTAAATCCCCTTGAAATGTCTTTTTTTTTTTCCTCTTAATGTCATTTCATTAATCCTTGGGTGCAAGCAGGAGAAAAAAAAACTTACCATAGCAAATAACACAACTCTGGATCTTACTAAGAGTAGCATTCTGGTCTTGCACTCTACCCAGAACAGTCAGGATAAAACTCTGGCTCTCATCTGCCTGCATACAGTACAACATATGCCATGCATAGAGAATGAGTATGTCTACATGCTGTTAAAAGTATTAAAGCTTCTTGTGTTAGGCACACACACACCTTGATTTTACAATTCACATTTAGCCATTAAACCAACCCAGGCTCGTTCTGAAAACGCTACTGGACAAACTGGTAACAGCGGAAAAGCCTTCCAAATTGAAGCGGTCAGCTGGTAAGCCCAAAAAAGAATGGCATCATACTGCCACGTAACGCTCGTTTAAAAAACGAAACACAGCCAAACGTACTCTTGGCTCCCTAATTTGCGTTCTCCAGAAATGTATACAGGGCTATGTTTTCACAATGAGCCTATGTTGCATTTAACAGATGCTTTTATCCAAGGCGACTTTCAAATGAGGAGACATTCAGTGATTTAACAAGAAGAGGCAATACACGCAAGAAGTGCTAATTATAAAAAGTAACAGTTAGTGCTCAGGGAGAGCTAAGGAGGGGGGGGAGTGTTTTTTTAAGTGCTCAGGTCATTGTGGATGAGATGTTTTTAGTTTGAATAATACTAGTGAATTATAGTAGTTCAAACAACTGGTCACCTTGGAGTTAAAAACGCATACAAAGTTAACCAATTTAAAGAGTTAACCACTTTTAAATCAATCAGCTATTTTTAAACATTTTGTTTATGAGGCACTCATCTTTACCTCAAAAGCTCTCCTGATAGCAGGGACATTCCTCAGAGCAATGACCCCAAGTTTAATATTCAGGGCTTTGTACTCTAGAATGGCAGTGGTGAGAGATATCGAATCTTGAGATTCTCCAGCAGTGAGGAAAATGGCAACCTTCCTCATCAGGATGCCTTTTCGCACTCGCTTCAGAACATTTCTGCCCACAAACCGCATGGCAGCGCCAATGTTGCGGCGATTTGAAGTGCGTTCCAGGGCGATGTTGTTGACGGCATCGATAAGCTGCTTCTTGCGGTGGTAGTCGTTAAAGCGGATCAGGTATTTGGTGAATGAGCTGTAGGACACCAGAGCCACTCGAGCCCCTGTCGGGCAGCTACTCTCTGCAATTTTCATGTTGTCCAGCAGTCTGAGGACCACAGAACGCATGCGCTCAAAGCCTTGAGGGGTCACATCTTCAGACATGTCCATGCCAATCACAAGATCAGTGGGGTATGCCGGACATTTTATGTTGTCTAGAAGAACACATTCAGTAGAAGAGTTTCATATTTAATTGTGTACACATGACAGATAATTCACAAATTAAATATAATATTTATTTGTAAGGATGATGAAGAAGCCCTTTAGCCTTATACAAAAGTTGATAAGTCTGTTGTGCTTTATTCTGAGATAACAACCGCCTGGATGTACTTTATCCCTTACATAGCGCCTTAAATGTTGTGATTGACCAATCAAAATCACGTATTCAGAAAAAAATTTATAACATAATATATAATCATTGAAGAAAAATATGACACAAAAAAATGTTACCTACCTTTGCAGCACACTGTTAAATAAGAAAAAACATAACTTTTTAAAAAAGCATCTTTAATGTAATACTATTGTTATTTATTTGAAATAAAAAGAATAAATCATTGCTTACTACAGTTGTCTCGAACATATGAGATCAGCTGACAGTCCTACAAAAGAAAAAATATATATAATTAAACATGTCTTGTGTTTTTATATGAATGCATTTTAAATATGCAAATACATGCATTACCTTTATATTATATTATATTGCATTTAATATATTATTGTTTTTTTTTTTTTTACTTGTAAACATGCAGCGGCAAAGAAAATCAGACACTTACAGACATCTGTCTGGCTCCTCGTGGTCCTTTCGGGCCCTATATGGTAAAAAAAAAAACCTTTATCTTACCACATTCTATGATTAAATGATGCAGATAATATTAGTCTAAACATACTCTGTGTCCAGTCATCCCCCCACTGCCAGGATCTCCTGGTGGTCCCGTCCTACCAGCATTGCCCTGTTATCAGACATTCATTTTAGGCTCCTAAAAGTGTAAAAGATAAGAAAGTGAAGCTTGCAAAATGCTATTACCCCTCTTCCTCTGCTGCCTTTAGGACCAACACCTCCGTTTGTGCCTTTAAAGCCCAATTCACCCTAGGAGAAATGTGACAAAACATTATTCATTTATAAATGAACGTTATAAATATTGCAATGTCAAGTTTTAAGCTCACCTGAAGTCCAGGATATCCTGGAAAACCAGAATCCCCCTTGAAGAGAAGTATAAAAATAATATTTAAATTGAATAATTGTTAAATGTAAAATCAAAAAAGTGCATATGTGTGTACATAAATAATAATATAAAAAAAAACTGCATATGGGTGCAAGATGAGATGTACGACTTTGGTGTCCTTATCAATTTCTACAAATGTATTTAAAATATATGAAGGAATAATTATAAATTGTATAATATTTTAAATTATTAAATGCTTCTAGCTGACAAATGGATAAAACCCATTTATTAATTAGCATTTTCACAAAAATAAATAAATAAAAATATTACATTCATCAATTTTCAGCTTAGTCACTTTATTAATCTGGGGTCGCCACAGCGGAATGAACCACCAACTTATTCAGCATATGTTTTACGCAGTGGATGCCCTTCTAGGTGCAACCAATCACTGGGAAAGACCCATACAAACTCATTCACACACATACACTAGGGATAATTTAGCTTACCCAATTCAACTATACCACATCTTTGGACTTGTGGGGGAAACCGGAGCACCGGGAGGAAACCCATGCGAACACGGGGAGAACATGCATACTCCACACAGAAATGTAAACTGACTCTGCCGAGGCTCGAACCAGTGACCTTCTTGCTGTGAGGTTTTCGTGCTACCCACTGCGTCACCGTGATTTTACAGTGAAATAATAATATATATTGTGGCAGAGAACAAACTTGCTAATTAAAAACAAAGGATTTTATGAATTATTCTGTATAAACCTTCTGTCCTTTGAGTCCTGGATATCCATAGCCATCATTGCCATCTTTTCCCTATTAATAATTCAAAAATGTCACAATTATAAAGGGCATCTCTTTCAAATGTTAAACTGTAAAATAAAGAAACAATTAAGAAACTTTTTGAACTGCTGCATTCAAGAACAAAATAGCATTTAGATTTTATTAATGAGGTTGGATAATGCTTGGCATTGCAAAGTTTTGGTAGATTATACAATAAAATATATATAAACATAAAAGTAACCGGCAGTCCCCTGGAACCTGCAGACCCTAAAGACCCCTTTTCTCCAGGATCACCTGGTTGACCCTGTAAGGAAAAAGCAACAGGAGAGTTTAAGCTTTAAAAGCAGAGATTTAAAGAGATGTTTCTGAAAGTCACTCACCTTCTGTCCTCTGGATCCAAGGCTTCCTTTAGTTCCTGGCCTCCCTGGAGAGCCAGGCGATCCCTGGGTAAAGAGATCAATAAAATCCCATTAATTAGCTGGTTTATTAATAATGGTTTATAGGAAAAATAAATAAAGAGAGTGACTGGTTTATTGTATTTAAACATATACCTGAGGTCCAGGCAGACCAACAAAACCTCTTTGCCCAACTGGACCAGGAGGACCAAAAGGGCCCTAAACAAAGACAATATTAATCTCAGATTATAGTTCACATCCATCCAATTTGACATCAAACCTTTTATTTAGCAATTTAAAGGTGTTCACATTATTAGGATTATTATTCCTATTATGCTTTTGACATAATATTGTGTTATTAGACAGTTTATGAATGTAATCCTTGAGATTACATAAACTGACAAGGCTTTAAAATGTGTGTGTGTGTGTGTGTGTGTGTGTGTATATATATATATATATATATATATATATATATATATATATATATATATATATATATATATATATATATATATATATATATATATATATTGCATCACAGAGTAAATGATTCAATAGGGATTTTATGATATGAGCACTTATGAAGTCTATACTAAATATTGTAAAGAATAATATTGCTTCTTTAATATGATCAAACACAAATTTGAAAATTAAGCAAAACAGTATGTGTCGTTAACATGTAACTACAGTGCACTTCATAACCTAAGGCTTGTTATATAAGGTAACTACATGGGTTAGGTTAGGTTTAGAGGTAGGTTATACCTAATAGTAAATGTACCTAATTAATATTAATTAATTATCTTTAAAATGCTCTTCGTGCAGTTTGCTCTGTAATTCTGTTTGAACGGGAAAACATGGAATTCTTCAAAACTGCTTGTCAAGCTTACGATTAAATGTCATATTAGAAATCACCAATAAAATTTAACAACAACTGTCTCTTTCATTTCTAAATGTTTGAATAACACAAAACCTGCAGAAACACACATCTGGTCCAATCCCCTCCCCTGGAGAATTTTCAGTCCATATTGATCAATGATTGGCTCCTGTACTAGCAGGCGGGGCTTCTTTCAGCAAATTGATGGTTACACTTTTCCCATTCAAAACTATACGAGTGACTTCCCTTGTTTATTCTATAGTCTTTGTTAATATCCAGTTCAAATATCAATCAATAACTATTATAAGTGAGCACACACATACAAAATAGGACTGCCATCTTTTCTCGCCATTAACAATCTGCAAACAATTTAGAGCTATACATTTTCAGCTGCGTCATTATAGAGTCTTCTTAACTTTTTATTGATAGGGATAAATATAGGATTAATAAATACATTACCTGTGGACCCGAGCCCCCTGGAAGTCCTTGTAAACCTGGATCTCCTGGAGGCCCTCTGGGACCCTAAAAACAAGCAAACCAAGTCATTTAGTAACCATGTCACTTCTGCAGTGGCTTAATTATAACATTCTACAGTACTGTACCGGTAGACCTGCCGTCCCTCTTCTGCCAGATTGACCCTAGAAATAGATTTATTAAATTACCAATGTACCAAAAACCACTGGTTCTGTGATAAAATGACAAATCATAGATTAGATGAACTCACTGGTCTGCCATTTTCTCCACTTTGGCCAGCAAGACCATCTGGGCCTGGATCACCCTGGTAATAAAAGCACACAGAAAGAAAACAAATGCAATAAAAATCATTCAGAAATGAAATGTTTTTGTTTTTACTTCACTTTTAACTTATAAACTTGTAAAAAACTATTGTGAGCCTCAAGATTATGAATGCTTTTGATGGCCCCATCCATTTGAATAATTTTTAAAAAATGAAAATTTCTGGTGAAAACCTATATTACTCATGAAGCTGTGCAAATGTTTTCATGAATAATAAAAAACTAAATGTGGAGAAAAATCTTTTTTCTTATTTGCCTCATAAATTTGGTTCATCATTTACAATCCTTTAACAAATCCTTTATTTGTAAAATACTAAAAAGCTAAATAAAAGCTTTATTTGTGAAAAAAATTAACAAAATACTCCTGGATTAATGGAAAAAACATCAAAATAAAAAATTTATATCACAAACACTGATATTTTATTGATTACAAAATTATGCAACAACAAATTTCAAAATCAATTAATCTTGCCTTTGTTCAGTGATTGTTACTCTCACCGGCCACTTTATTAGGTACACCTTACTAGTATCGGGTTGAACCTCATTTTGCCTTCAGAACTGCTTTAATCTTTCATGGCATAGATTCAACAAGGCACTGGAAATATTCCTTAAAGATTTTGATCTATATTGACATGATAGCATCATGCAGTTGCTGCTGATTTGTCGGCTGCACATCCATGATGCGAAACTCCAGTTACACAACATCCCAAAGGTGCTCTATTGGATTGTGATCTGGTGATTGTAAAGGCCTTTTAAGTACAGTAAACTCATTGTCATGTTCAAGAAACCAGTCTGAGATGATTCACGATTTGATATGGTCGCTGTCCTGCTTATCATCTTCTGCTGCTGCAGCCCATCTTCCTCAAGGTTGGATGTGTTGTGTGTTCAGAGATACTCTTCTGCCTACCTCGGTTGTAACGAGTGGTTTTTGAGTTACTGTTGAGTTTCTTTCGGCTGGAACCAATTTGGCAATTCTCCTCTGACCTCCGCCCACTGGATATTTTCCCTTTTTCAGGCCATTCTCTGTAAACCCTAGAGATGGTAGTGCGTGAAAATCCAAGTAGATCAGCAGTTTATGAATTACTCAGAACAGCCCGTTTGGTGCCAAAAACCATGCCACATTCAAAGTCACTTAAATCACCTTCTTCCCCATGCTGATGCTTGTTTTGAACTGCAGCAGATCGTCTTGACCATGTCTACATGCCTAAATGCATTGAGTTTCTGCCATGTGATTGGCTGATTAGAAATTTGCGTTAACGAGCAGTTAGAGAGGTGTACCTAATAAAGTGGCCGGTGAGTGTAAATTTGTTGTTTTTTTAATTAAAATTTCACATTTGTTTAAATTGTTTGAAATTGAACATTGGTCAGGATTAAATATGAAACAATTATTTGAATAGGTATATTTTTAAAGATGTTACAGTTAATTGCTAGTTTGTAATCAAATTTAAAATGAACAACGCATACAGTACCTGCATGCCTGCACTGCCGGCATCACCTTTACGACCGCGGGCATTGTTATCCAATCCTGAATTACCCTGATTATGATAAAACAGATTAACACTGGTCAAAATGTAGCCAAACACTACTAAAACAACATTTGCTGAAAGTCATTAGTGGCTGGTCTCGACTTACACATGGTTTGTATTACTCATCATTGCCCGATGTATTAGTATTTTGTATCTACAGAGACATTCTTTTGCCAAATATGGTAACAATAAAGAACAAACATTAAATCATTACTCTCAAAAAATGTGAACTAGAGAGATTAAATGAATAAGACATACTGCTACTGCAGTAACAATGGAATGATTTACTTTAGAAAACAATCTGATACAGCATTTTCTCAACATGCAAGAACAGGGTTTATTGCATAAATGGGTGATGTTTTAAAGGGATAGTTCACCCACAAATGAATATTTACTTCCTATTTAAAATATATTTTGAAGAATTAAACGGTTTCCAGCTTTCTTCAATATATATATATTTTTTGTGTGTTAAAAAAACGGAAAAAAAACAGGTTTGGAACAAGTGAATGCTGAGTAAATAATAAAAGAATTTTGTTGTTGTTGTTTTGGGTGAGGGGGGACACAATGGCTCAGTGATAAGCACTGTCGCCTCAGCAAGAAAGTCGCTGGTTCGAGTCCTGGCTGGGTCAGTTGGCATTTCTGTTTGGAGTTTGCAAGTTCTCTTTGTGTTGGCGTGGGTTGTCTCTGGGTGCTATGGCTTCCCCCACAGTCCAAAAGACAGGCGGTACAGGTGAATTGAATAAACTAAATAAGAGTGAATGAGTGTGTATGGATGTTTCCCAGTACTGAGTTGCAGCTGGAAGGGCATCCACTGTGTAAAACATATACGGGATAAGTTGATGGTTCATTCCCCTGTGCCAACCCCTGATGAATAAAGGGACTAAGCCGAAGGAAAGTGAATAAACAAATGTTTTGGGTGAACTATCCCTTTAAGAGATTTATTTGCAGCTGAATTCTACTAACCGGATCTCCTCTCAGGCCTCGTTGTCCTGGGCTTCCTGAGCTTCCTGAAATACCTGTTGGACCCTTCACAAAAGTAACAAACAAAGACGATACATATGTATAAATCAGAGAAGATGGAGCACTACAGCGAGACTGGATCATAGTTGAGAGGAACATAAGTGGTGTATTTTACCGGATTGCCTGGATCTCCTCGCTCTCCTGGACTTCCCGGTGCTCCAGTTTTACCCTGAAAATTTCAAAAAGTAAAATGCAAGGCATGATCTTTCTTCCAAAAATTTTTATCCTTGAAAAGTTAAAAAAGTGACGTTTTTTAACATCTTTAATAATTTAAAGTGACATAGTTTCTGGGTTGGTGTTGTATATAACACAAAAATCCTGCATAAACCTTGCAAAACCTTTTTATTTTACAGACTTACTTCTCTATATAATATTTTTTATACATTATATTATTTTAAGCTACTAAATGCTAATAAAAGTCACTTTGTTAAACTGTAGAGTTTAATTTTCAACATCAAAAGTTGACAGAGCAGAGATCAAGGCCCCAAAAGGCAAATCACAACAGTAAATAAGCAGAAAACATGAGTGAATCACAAAATATGGAACCTGTTAAGATATTTTTTACAATGTAGGGTATTGATGTTTATGCTTTAGCTGCAACCATTTAAAACATTCTGTACATATATACAGTTGAATTCAGAATTATTAGCCCCTCTGAATTATTAGCCCCCGTTTATTTTTTTCCCAAATTTCTGTTTAACGGAGAGAAGATTTTTTTCAACACATTTCTAAACATAATATTTTTAATAATTCATCTCTAATAACTGATTTATTTTATCTTTGCCATGATGACAGTAAATAATATTTTACTAGATATTTTTCAATACTTTTTTACAGCTTAAAGTAACATTTAAAGGCTTAACTAGGTTAATTATGTTAACTAGGCAGGTTAGGGTAATTAGGCAAGTTATTGTATAACGATGGTTTGTTCTGTGGACTATCAAAAAATAATATAGCTTAAAGGGGCTAATGATTTTGTCCTCAAAATAGTGTTAAAAAAATTACAAACTGCTTTTATTCTAGCCGAGATAAAACAAATAAGTAATTATTAGACATGCCATGAAATTTCCTTGCTCTGTTAAACATCATTTTGGAAATATTTAAAAAAGGAGGAAAAAAAACAAAGGGGGTCAATAATTCTGACTTTAACTGTATATTTATTATATGTTTTAATTCAGTGTGCATTACATCTATCCATTGACCCTAGATTACTCACTGAATGTTAGAAGTGCATCATAATTTTATTAGGTACCTGTTCACCATCAACCCCATCTAATCCATTATCTCCCTCTTCTCCCTGTGGAAGAAGATTAAAGAAAACTCAAGCCATTATTAAGCAAACAATGATTACGTGCTCATTAACAAGCCAAATGCAAGAGAATATGAAAAGAGACAGGAACACAATTTATGTGCATCTAGACAAAAACAACAGAAACCACAGACTATAACAACCCTTTCCAGATGGCAATCAAAGACAGTCATCTAAACACAGATGCTGGCTAATAAATGCCATCTGGTAATAATTAGTAGACAGAGGATGTATACATCCTCTCTCTCTTTCTCTAGCTCTCTCTCTCTCCCAAAATCAAAGTCAAAGTCAAATGAGCTTTATTGGCATGACTTGTCAATTATTGTCAAAGCATTACACATAGCATAAACAATGAATAAATTCTATAGTGAATATGGAGTACTTATATTTATACATAAAACTATTAGAATTTTTTATCAATACATATAAGACTAATAGGATTATTTAAAAAAAGATGGAAAATATAGATATATTTTGTAATCATATAAAATCAAATAATAAAATAATGTAAAATAAAAAAATTTAAAAAAAATAAAAATACAAATAAATTAAAATAATAAAATAAAATAATAAATTAAATTAAAATAAAATAAAATAAAATAAAATAAAATAAAATAAAATAAAATAAAATAAAATAAAATAAAATAAATTAAATTAAATTTCTCCAGAGTCTTAAATGTTATCCCTTTAAATTTAATGCTAATAATTTTTTTTTAAGCAATTTCTTTATAAATTGTTAATAAATTGTATTTCTGACATGTCTATAGGCAAAGTTTCTTTGTTTTAATGGTAACCTGTGGCAAAAAGGTCTACCAAGCTGTTATGATGCCTGTTAAAGAAATATGGAAGTACTCACGTTTTCACCTCTGTAACCTCTGCCACCCTGAAGGAAAATGAATAAACTGTGAAAGCCACATTTAAAACTTTAAAAGGTCTCCATATGAGCATTTTATTTCATGTTACCTTTAAGCCTCTTCTTCCAGGGCATCCCTGATTACCTCGAGTTCCATTCAAACCAGGAAGCCCTCGCTCACCCTACAACACACGTGTACTGCGCATGAAAATCAAGATCATTCAATATTTATTCAGTTATTATTTATAGTAGAATTTTTATAGCATTTTTTAATGATTTTTTTTCACCTACACATATAAAGGTTGCATTTATGTAATCAAAAATGCAGTAAAACAATAACATATTATTAGTACAATTGAAAATGTTAATAAGGGGTTTAAATGTACGATATTCTTGTAATAACAAACAACTTTTCAGCAGACATTATTCCAATATTCTGTGTCACTTCATCCTTTAAAAATCATTCTAAAATACTGATTTGGTGCTTATGTAACATTTATCATTAGCATAGATAGCATTTTTGCATGCTATATATAATAAATAAATATTTTATTGTCCTAAAATCAAATTAATCTTACTAAACACAAATATTTAAACAGCAATCAAATGCCACAACAGTTATTTTATTCCTTATTTTATTACCATAGGAAGTTTTAGGATCCTTTTTTATTTGATTTGTAATAGAGGCCAGCTAGTGAAGTGCTATGCAGATAAACCTCACTCTTCTGACCTCTGAAGTTGCTCTAGCGACAGACGCTAGAGCCTAGGTCTTTAACCTTCTTGTTAGATCAACCGACTCACATACACAGAATTGCTGGTTCAATCCCAGTTTAGAGCGGGTTGGGTGCAGTAGGGCTAGTGGGTTACACATACGAAGCTCTTCCTGGATGGGAGTGAGGTTTTGGGGGATTGAGTGTAACAAAGGCCAACTAGCGAAATGATATGCGAGTAGACCTTACTCCTCTGACCTCTAAAGGTGCTCTCGCGACAGACACTACAGGTCTTTAGTCTGCTTGTTAGAGCAACTGACTCCCATACAAAGAATCGCCGGTTCGATCCTAGCTCCTTTTGCAGTAAGACTGGTGGATTACATATTTTATTATTTTCACTTTATTAAGTTAATTATTACAATCGTAATTGTAAAAGTGTTATCAAATACAATTTTGCTGAATTCAACAAAATTCTGCTCTGTAACTTTGTAATTGGAAATATGTGAATATGATAAATACTGCAGAGAAAACAGGATTCCTCCAATGGTTTTCAACCCCCAAAAAGTCTGAAAATGTAAGCTTTAGAAAACGTAGTGCACATTTTTAAAATCTTCCCTGGGCAAATTACAAAAATGCAATTTTGTGGAGAACTGACATGTCATGCATATTCATATGCTCAGTCTATATGAAGAGTTCAGATGCTAAAACCTCTAAATGCCATCAGAAATTTTCTTCTAAAATGAGCATTTTTCGATGATTCCTGTGTGTAGGTTCAGTTATTTCACATTTATTGCAAAGAATGTTTGTTATTTTCATTTCTTTTAAAAGAAAATAGCTAAACATGAACATAGGAACTTGACAAAAATTTATTTTAGAAGAGATATTTAGATGGCACTCAGAGGCCTTTGCATCTGATCTCTTTATGTCTGCACAAGTTTTCAAAAAAAACAAAATACCAATGCTGGGCTATATGTGTGCAGGAATGGACTGTTTCTTTTTACAAAGTGACAACTCAACACTGTAAAACAATTCTGGGTTTCACACAAATGATTTGTGTTGGGAAAACATGAAGGAATTAAGTTAAGTTATTAGTTTTTACAAATTAAAGTGGATTGAACATAAAAAACTAAACAATTATGTTGTTTCAGCTCATTTTAAATAAGTAGTTTGAACAAACATTTTTTTAAAATGTAGATACTAGCCTGACATAAATCTGATCTGACAGAATACAGAAAATGTTTGCCTTATGCATATACATATGAGCAGGGATGATTGTCATCTGTACAAGAAGCTACAGTATCTGAAAAACATCTTACTCAGCTAATGAATCAGCTCGTCTGAATGTTACTCATCTTATTCAGCTAATAAATTTAAAGGTAAATGACTAATAAATATAAATGACACAACTTACATGTCCTCCTTCTTCTCCAGGGTAGCCAGAATTTCCCCTCCGTCCTGGTAATCCCTGATTAGCAGTACAACGAGACAAATTTAGCATTTATTTTACAATGTAATTCAATAACACTTTATACAAATATCTTCAACTAATCACCTTTGACCCGGGCAGTCCCTGAAAACCACGAGATCCCTCATGACCAGAGCACTTACACGCCACATTACAGCACTCCCTCGATGCAATGTTATCCTACAGAGAAAAATACAAAATACAAAAATACAGAGAGAGAACACTTTAGATTTTGTTTATGAAAGGACTGTTGACATGTTGAACCAGGCACTTGACATCCTGATCTTTCCTCAGAGCTCTTTAAAATCTTGCGGCTGTTTCCTTTATCTTGGAGAGCCTCTCACTAACACTCCCACTAACAGGAAGCCATTTATTTACATAGCAGCCAAAACACTGAACATTAGGACATTGTGTGAACACTAAGAGAAACTGTAAGGGATCTATTGTACTAGAGTATATTGCATCTGATGAACATAAGTCTTAAAACTACTCTTAAAATTAATACAATTATTTTTTGCTTAACAGAAGAGGCTTGGCTCTTTATGTTTCATATATGGTCAAATATTTCTGCAGAAAATATTCTGAGGGCCATCAAGTTTAGGAGAAAAATCATCAAAAATGCTGGCACTTGTGACAAACAAGTTTACAACAAGGCGTATGATCCAAACACAGACTTATTAGAATTGTCAGGCAGGTAAGGGTAGGAACGACTGACGCAAATCTGATGTTAAGACATGGTGTCAAGATACCAAACTAAAGATATTTCTAAGCAGGCAGATCACATATCTAAAGCGATTTAAAATATGGGTAACTACACAAGAATTCTTATATCTGAAAAATCTGCATTTAATGAAAAGGGTAGAAAACAAAATCAGCATTTGTCGCAGCTGTTCTTGTCTTAGTGGACCAAGATTAGTGCAACTGTGCAAGTTCAACACCAGCTTGTACAAGTATTCAGAAATTGTGACACAATGTCTTTAATTAATGTTGATTTTTTTAATGTCCAAACACATTTATTTACAAAGAGTTAATTTGGATTGACTATAAAAATGACTATAATTGCTTTATCTTGGATTCAAACCCAATACATCTGAATGCTAATCAAGAACACAAACCACTCCACTAAGAAACTAGGTTTCACATTTAAACAACATGGCCTATAATTCCTCAAATCGTATAACTTTTTTTTTTGTTAAAGTTGTTTAAGAGCAATACTTAAAAAATGGCCACTAGGAGACAGGTTTTGAAATGCTTAAACATTCGATTCAACTGTTTCAGTATTTCATGAAGCCTCACTCTGCCCACCACTAGGCTAGAGTCGAAACAAGAGCAGGTAAGCATAAAACAGATTCAAAGGGTGAGTATTAAAACAGACAATTTGGTTGAGGCAGGCGGCAAATAATCCAAAAAACAAAGGGTCAAAAACATGGTAAGGTAAGTCAAGAAAAACGCTTTGTGAAGTTAACTACAGGATACAAAACCCAACAACGGATATCTGTGTGTGGTGTATATATAGCCTTTGTAATCAGTGGTGATAAACTGCAGCTGTGTGTGTAATCTGCTGGTGAACTGAAACTGGTGTGTGACTGCAGGACATGATGGGATTTGTAGTTCAGGTGAATAATAGGGAGTGTTCGCCAGAAGTTCGCCATGTCAACACAACTGCTACGATTATAACAACAATGACTTACATCTTTAAAAAAAAACGCTTGTGGGCAGTTAAAATGAGGAAAAATGTATTTGAAATAAGTGGATCAAAACATTTTAAATAACAGAACTTCTGAAACCAAAAAAAAGATTGATATCACCCTAAAATTCTAACCTGTTTGTTTGTAATTTGGTATAGGAGATGTAACGTGACTTACAATCTCCTTCTGCATGACACTGGCCACACTTTGCATGCCAATGGAGAGCAGCTGCTTATAGCGCAACCCTCGACCAAACTCCAGCCTCTGCAGGTCAGTTGTACTTTTATATCCATCCAGCGCTACTGTCAACAAAGCTTTTACACCTGGGCATGATACAAAAGGAATCTTAGTAAACATACTTAGCTCTCATTTTGAACCATTTGCTCCTTGAAGTTTAACTGCACAGTATAACGTGAACAAAATAAGGTTTTTTTTTAAGTAATAAGTCAGATTGTACCATTTGTCCTAAGGCTATTGACAGTAGACAAAAGGTTCTCAACAGGCTCATCCAACCCATCTGTAAAGATGATCAGCACCTAAAAAAAACATGACATTTAAATTTAATCATTGGGCAGTGGATTTTATCCAAAGTATCATTAGATGTGATCAAAGTAACCAAAAAACAACATTTAAATGATTTGAGTAATTTTCAGCTAAAGAAAGCCAAAAGTAGTATATAAAAGTATATATATATATATATATATAATACAGACAAAAGAAAGCCAAAAGTAGTATATACAAGTATATATATATATATATAAAATAATACAGTAAGTAAATAAAAATAATATTAAAAGTATATAAAGAGAGAGAGAGAGAGAGAGAGAGAGAGAGAGAGAGAGAGAGAGAGAGAGAGAGTCCTGAGGCACCTCAGGAGCAAAAACAAAAAAATAAAAATCAATCTATCTGTCTGTCCATACATCCGTTAGTTGCGATCAAATAAACGTTTCTTTTTTTAGACAGGTTGATTTAGTATATAGAAAACTCATTCATTATTCATCTCAAATGCAGAAAAGCTAGTCCATGCTTCTATGACTTCTATAGATGGATTACTGAAATGTTCTGTTCAGTGGTTGCCCAGCATCCTCTATTAATACAGTTCAGTTCAAAATGCAGCTGGCAGAGTTCTTACAAGGTCTAGAAAATAAGATCATATCACATTACACAGGCTGCCTGTGATTGATTTTAAAATATTGCTTCTCACCTATAAAGCTTTAAATAATCTATTTTCTGTTTATCTAACTAACCTTTTGTCTCGCAACAATCTAAACCACACTTTAAGTTCTCAAAACAGGGATTCTGGTTGTACCAAGAATAGCAAAGTCTACTAAAGGAGGTTGAGCCTTCTCATTTATGGCTCCTAAACTCTGAAATAGCCTTCCTGATAATGTCTGAGGCTCAGACACACTAACTCAATTCAAAACTAGATTAAAGACCTATCTTTTTAGTAAAGCATACACACAATGCATCACAACGCTATGATGCATTAGTGTGCTCCATGCAATTAAGTGGGCTTGACAAGTGAGTTGTGAGTTGGCTGTCATGGAGAAGTGGAGAGTATGAGACTGATTCCTGAAAGACCACAGTGACAGACGAGTCTTTGCACTGATCCCGTGGGCCAGCCTGATCACCCAATGGTGACCTACTCACACCTGCAGTTCTCCACGATGGATGTCCACTGTTCTCCAGCCTCCGGCACCTAGACTCCAGCTCCCCACAGGAAGTTTTTCTAGAGGAGAAATGGTCGTGCCCAACTGAGCCTGGTTTCTCTTGAGGTTTTTTATTCACTTTCGTAAATTGGTAAAGTTTGTTCCTCGCCACAGTCGCCACTGATTTACTTGGTTTGGGACTTGTGGAACTGCACATCGATGGGTTCTCTTCCAGCAGTGTTATTTTAAACCACACTAAACTGAACTAAACTGAGCTTCAGCTCTGAAAACTGGACTGACACAGTTTTAATTTACTAAGCTTCTATGTTCAGCTGCTTGGACACAATCCACATGAAAGTGATAAAGAAATAAACATGAACTGAACTGAATTTTTCTTTGGCTTAGTCCCTTTATTTACAGTGCCGCCCTACACAGAGAACTCACCTTTACAAAAGAATTCGAAGCTCTAAACTTCTCTTCAAAAGAGCGCAGAAGCAGGTTGTTGAATTTCAGAGACTGGGATGTCTGAAGTGCCATCACTTTGTTTAACACTCCTACATCATACTCTTCAAAAGAAAAATCATCCAGCCTTTTTCCTGTAGCATCGACCAATCTGAAGCCTATGTTGGTTTTGATGGTTGGTTTAGTAATACAGCACAGGTTGTGAACTTCTGAAATGGAGCGGATGATCTCGGGCAGGTACGTCTGCAGCTTCATCTGGTCTCTAAAGATTGAGCGAGAACTTGAACTGGTTCGGGAGTTATCAAATCCAATGCCAATGTCAATAGTACAACCTAAATAAAGAGAAATGGAATTATATAATGAGCTGAATGTGGCAGTGCTTAAACTATGTTATTATGCATGAACCAAACATTTGTTTTATGCTAGAATTAATAAATTATTGTAATAAAGATAATTTAAAAATAAATTTAATTTGAATATTAGATTTAAATGTTATAGTGTGTCTACTAATGTAGCTTGGATCGCTTGATTCGTTTGTTTTTTTGTTTTGTTTTTTCTTTTGTCTTGGTCTGACTAGCATTTTTAAAGCTGAATCTAACTCTAGAAAAAAATTATTTTAGAAAATATATTTTCTAAGAAACCTACTAAATTTTTAAAAAATGAACAAGATTACATGTACTTAGTTTACCATTTCCAATTCAGTTTACCAATTCATAGTACACATTTTTTCGGTGTACCTGTTCCTTGGAATCAAACCGAAGATTACAACCCAGGCTCATTCTGAAAACTAAGCCCTATAGACATTTCTGGAGACCACCAAATAAGTTCAACATAGGCTCATTCTGAAAACTTATCCCTATATACTTTTCTGGAGATTATGAATTGTGTGGCCAGAAGTACGTATGGCTGCATTTCATTCTTAAAACGAACGATACGGGGCAGTATGACACCGTTCCTTTTTGCGATACCAGCTGACCGTTTACCTCCATGTGGCTTTCCCGCTAGTACTAGTTTGTTCAGTTAGCTCACCATGGACTTGAGATGAAGTTGACCATCATGATGGGGTTTGAGTCCAGTGAGGAACAGTTCCAGAAAGCAGGTAAGACAAAAACAGAATCCAAATAATAAAATAAACAAGAAAATACCAGGGTGAAAATGTGGTAAAAATCAGGCAAGGTCTTTTCTTTTGATGAAGGGGGTGTTGGATGGTGGGGGGCTGAGGGTGTCGTGGGTGGGGGGGGGGGGGGTATATATAGAGGTACGTTTTCAGCCTGGGTGGAATACATCCCAGGAGATTTTTTTTTTTTTTTTTTGCAAATCCAGCACAGGCCGCTGCTTTTTCTCACGTAAATTCACCAGAGGCCGCTGTCAACTGACTGACTTTCTGACCGAATGACTAACCCACCCTCCTCCTGCCCTAAACCCAAAAAAATACTGTTTTCGAAAGCACCGATTGACTCGCCCACCACTTTCCCTAAACCCAACCGACAGGGTTTTCAAAAGCAAAACAGAAAAAGAAAAGCCCTTGCAGCAGCCTGATTTTTACCAGGTTTTCAGATTTTACCACATTCTCACTGTTGTTTACTTGAATGAGCCGCCAACTTATCCAGCAAGTTTTTACGCCGCGGATGCCCTTCCAGCCGCAACCCATCTCTGGGAAACACCCACATTCACACACACACACACACACACACACACTCATACACACTCATACACTACGGACAATTTAGCCTACCCAATTCACCTGTACCGCATGTCTTTGGACTGTAGGGAAAACCGGAGCACCCGGAGGAAACCCACGCGAACGCAGGGAGAACATGCAAACTCCAAACAGAAAAACCAACTGAGCCGAGGATCGAACCAGTGGCCCTTCATTGCTGTGAGGCGACAGCACTACCTACTGCACCACTGCTTCACCCTATTTACTTGTTTATTTATTTGTTTATTTTTTTTGGTTTTCGTTTTTGTCTTACCTGCTTTCTGCAACCATTCTTTGCCAGACTCAAAGCCCGTTGTTGCAGTTAACTTCGCTCCACGTCACAAGTCCGATGACGTAAGCATCAAGCCTACGATCTATAGGGTTGTATAGGTTGTAGGAATGGTTGTTTTAATTGAACCAAACATGGCAACTATGAACAAAACCCACAGATAATGATTGAAATAACCAATATGGAACCATTATACTGCGAATTCCTTGATAGACCTTCCTCATAAATGTTATACTCTAGGCTATTTTCAATGTTCTTCAATTTAAACCACACACCAAAGCATTGGCACATATACTCACTTGCTTGTGCTAAAGGTAAAGGAACGCAAAGGGCATCAACAAACGTAGCTGTTGTCAGATTAAGGTAGTTGAAGTTCTGTACTTTGAACAACCTGTCCGGTGAGCCGGCAATATAGCTGAGCTGCTGCAATGAGACAGCTCCAATTCCAATCGCAAAGACGTTAATCCCAAGGTTTCTGAGTTGATCAGCTGCTTCGTTCACTCTGTCCGATGAAACGCCATCAGTGATGAGAACAAGATTCTGCGGTACGCCACTCTGTTTGCGACTCCCTTTGTCTTCCTGGAAGAATTCCACAACGTTACTTAGAGCTTTCCCAATAAGCGTCCCTTCTTTAATTTGCGTGATTCGTCGAATTGCTGATTTCACCCCATCAGCATCTTTGTACTCATTCATGTAGAACTCTTTCTGATATACGCTGCTGAACTGGGCTATGCCGACTCTGAAAAGTTCTGGACCGATACGAAGCTTGTCCACAACATTTAGCAAGAAAGCAATCACTGTAATCCACGACTCCTCTGAGATGCTTTCAGATCCATCAATCAAAAACACAAGATCGGCCACCTCGTTCTGGCATACTGGAGGACAAAACAAAGGATTAGTTCAACCTAAAAACAAAAGTTCTGTTATGTTTTACCCTCACATCATATCAAACCCTTGAGACATCTGTTTGTCTTCAGAAAAAATTAAGATATTTTAAAGGAAACCTAAGAGCTTTCTCTTTCTCCTTCGACAGCAACAGTCCAGAGACGTTCAAAGTCTAGGACACAGTCAACACATTCCATGTAACTACAGGGATTCTACTACAATCATACGAAGCTCCAAGAACAGTATCGTGTGGCTTCTGCATTAGATCAGGGCACATGTTTACAAAGACAATGTGATGCTTGTGTGTTTTGCTGCTGACTCTAAGGACCGAGACACACCATTAGACCAATTAGGCCAAGTCAGCAATTAGGCTTCATCAGGCCATCGGTCAGCATTGGTTCAACTAGTTGGTTTGTGTTCCACATGTCATCTCTCGTCATCGGATCGAGTTGGCCCGATTCGGCATGTAGAATTGCCGTTGGCCAACGGCTAAAGTTAGGGCTTTGGCTGGTTATTCCACAACGAATCAGAGTGTGAGAACAAAAACTGCAGTGATATAACCATGTAAACAATTCAAGTAATTCAAGTAAAAAATATATATATTTAAAGAAGCACGCTGTAATTTCACTAAATTTCTCGAGTAGTTGCAATTGATATGAATTATTAGATTATTAGAGATATTTGCATGAGCAAACCCCTCCAATGTAAATGACAATTACTGTAATGCAATGTGCATTTATCCAGCACATGGCCATGCACCCAAAGTGCTTTACAATCATGAGGGGGGTCTCTTCAAACCACCACCATTGTGCAGCATCCACTTGGATGATGCAATAGCGGTTACAGGACAAATCTGCCAGTGCGCTTACCACACACCAGGTATAGGGGGAGTGAAAAGATAGTGATAGAGGCAATTCGGTGGATGGGGATGATTGGAAGGCCATGATTGGTAAGGGCCAGTGGAGGGAATTTGGCCAGGACACTAGGGTTACACCCCTACACTTTACGAGGAGTGCCATGGGTGAAACTGTGATAATGGTACTATGTGCTTTATTAATGCTTTATCTATGTGCATTTAAATAAAAATAAAAAATACTGCCATCCACAGGTGCAGAAAGACACATCCTATAACAGAGGCTCAAACAAGCTCTCTCGTTTCAGTTGGCTGTCATCCATTTGGTGTGCTCACACAGCTTTTTGGTCCAGATGAGACCAGATGGAGCCAATGTAAGCCAACAACACAGTAGTTATAAGGCATCGGCTTGGTGTGTCTAAGACCTAATGGCAATCTGATGTGGGAAAGAAAATACAGACAAACATTTGTATTGACATTTTGTTTTGGCACATAAAAGTGTTTTTGGAACTTCTTATGGTTACAGTTGAACCCCTGAAGTCACTTAAAACATTTTGACAGTGTTTTGTGGACTTTGAATGTGACTATTGAGATGATTGCCATCTATGGAGGATGAAGGAGTTCTCGGATTTCCTCAGAAATATCTTAATTTATGTTCTGATGATGAACAAACAACAAATGGGATCCAAACAACAAATAAATGATACAACATTAATAAATGACAGAATTTTCGGTAACACTTTATAATAACTACACACTATAAATCATTTATTAAGCATTAGCATCTAGTAAATTCTTTATCTGTTAAGCATTAATAAGCGTTAGTACGCCGTTTATAACTGCAGCTACAAATGCTGTATTCTTGACTTATAACCACAATTATAATTTGCTTAGTAATTGTATTTTCATACTTTGTTAATGATTTATTTTCATTACTAAATTAAGTATTACATCATTTACAAACCATTTGTGTTTAAGAGTAGTTGGTGGTTTTTAAGATCATTCAGAAAGAGTTAGTAAATGATTAATAAACTATTTAAATAAACATTTATAATTCTTATTATTCAGGCATATATTAATAATTAATTTGTGTGTTAATAAATGCTTTATTAACTCAACTTCAAGCAGTTGTGTGACCTAATCTAAAGTGAGGACTAGTTATGCTTTATAAATCACTAATAAATGACAATTAAAGGCTCGGTTATAAACGGCTTACTAACGTTTATTAATGTAGAGTTAATGCTTAACAGATAATGAATTCACTAGATTATAATGCTTAACAAATTATTTATAGTGTGTAGTTATTATAAAGTGTTACCGAATTTTCATATTTGGGTGAACCAAGTTGGCAGGTCTAAATTGATGAGCACAGTCACTTCAGCTTGTAGAGTCTGAAGAAGAACATTACCTGGTTTGGTTGCATTGCAGAGCACACCTGAGACATTCATCTGCAGATCTTGAAGGTTGTCGTAATTATTAACATGAAAGATTTTGTTTTTGCTCTTGGTAATAATCTCCAGCTCACTATCCTGAGCTCTAGCCACTCCAATTCCATACACATTTATTTGTTTGGCTGCAAACTCATCAGCCCTTGCACGCAGGTTTTCTCGGTCTCTGGCATCACCATCTGTGATCATGAACAGCATTTGAGGGACTCCTCGTTTTTGGCGTCCTCCGTTGGCTTCAGTGAAGTAAGTTAGAGAGTATGCAAGAGCCCTAGCCGTGTATCCGCTTACAGCTGGAGACTTCAGGCTTGTTATGGCTTCCGCTATTTGACGTCTAGTGTTGTACTGATTTAAGGAGAATTGACTCGGCGTGTCAGAGTAGACGATAACTCCAAAGCGAATTAGGTTATCCCCAATTTGTGTGCTATTCACCACAGAAATTAAAAAGCTTTTAATTTTCTCAAAATCTTGGAGACGAATTTGTCTGGTGCACTGCACTAGGAAGATCACATCCGCCAACTGTGTGCTAGGACAACCTACAAGAAAAAATGAGAATAAAGTTGATTAACATTCTACTGTCAACAAACATAAACCCAAAACTAACTTATACCATACCTGCCAACATTACCGTTTTTACAGGGAGTCTCCCATATTTCAGAAACCATCTCCCGTCACCCTCCCGTTTTGTTATTTCTCCCAGAAATCTCCCATAATTTCACCCCGCTCCCAGTCCTCAGCTTTTTGGTACAGTCAGTAACACCCCCAGGTCACCAACTTTGGTATGGTACCAAAGTATAGCACTTTGTATCCCCCTTTCTACAAGTACAGTGGTATTGAAACTACACCCTCTTACTCCTGAAATTTTTAAGACAAATGCTGGCAGGTATGGCTTAAACCAGTTTAAACTTTTGGTTTATTACAATTTTAATTAGGTGCAGTAAATAACAATTACATTAAAATTACACTATTTTTCAATTAGTTACAAATTTTTGGAGGTGTGCCGCAGCCGATGCAATCTACAAAATGGTCTCCTTGCAGATATGCGCAAGCAGGGCTTAATTTGTGGCGGAACAAGACAGATCCGGATCCAGCACTTCTGAAATCTGATCCAATACCTCATTTTCCCGATCCCCCTCCTCAAATGCACCCCATTCAGTTTCTCTCGTGCGCACATTCGGTCTACCTTGTGCGCATTCATTCTCTCTCGTGTGCATTCAGTCTTTCTGCGTTCGCTTGACTTTGGGACCCAGAGCAAGAGAACTACTCCGGCTTCTACACACAGAAGAGCAAGTGCTGCCATCATCACTACACTCGGAGCGTTTAAAGAATTCTAATATTTTTCTGTTTTCAGTAGGTTGATGCGACATAGCCAGCCAAAATCCATGGGTGTTACGTAACATCAACCTAATCTTATTAAAACAACGTTGTTATTGCTGTCAGACAACATTGCGAGACTATTGTACAAGTACAAGTTCAGACTATGTGTACACCTATTCATTGTCTTCTGTGTGTTACTGTCAACATTGCTAATTGTGTATTGTTTTGTTTTTTTGGGAGTATGTTGTTATATTTAGCACTGTTGTTCTTTTTTTTATGTATTTTGCACTGTCTGGAGCCAGCACCTAAGCTTTTCACTTATCATAGTACACGTGCAATAAAAGTGATTTGATTTGAAAAAAAAAAAACCTTTTAAATTAGTTTTTTTACAACAATTAAATGACAATTGTAAAATTAAAGAGATAAACTTCTGAGAAACTAGCGGTCCTGTCAGATGTGGCGTCCACTCTCATTCCCATACAGGACAGAGTGGCTGAGTGGAAGTCCACCGTGCGCGATTCAGAGAGCAAAAATTTGTAAACGTGCGGCCATGTAGAGACAGAAATGACATGCTGTTGTGTAAATAAGATATTCGATGGGGCTATTTGGCTTGTTTATTAAAAGAAGTTGTGATGTGGCGCTATATAGAAAATAGAATTATCTTGACTTCAGGGGGCAGGGAAAGGCTTTGGGAGGGCCGGGCCCCACTGTAAGGGAAAAACTGAATTGTGTTGCTTCAGCTCATTCTAAATAAGTAGTTTGAACATGCAGCAAAAAAAATTAGTAGTACTTTTTTGTGTGTGTTCACTTTGCAAGTGCCAAAATGCAACTTCATACTATGCCGATTAATTAAACAGACAAAAACATACGATTTTCAATCGATTTTCAAACAACACCAACTGTAATTTGCTAACAAAAATGGCTTTCATGGTAAACTGACTCACCGCCAGGGTGAGAGCTGCAGAGCTTGAATTGTAGGTTTTTGTCGATGGAATGAAGCGCATCGAAATCCCTCTGCACATACACTTTATCTTGAGTACCACTGATCTCCCATAGCTGTGTGGTGTTTACACTGGCCACACCTATGGAGAAGATGGTGACACCCTTGTCTCTGATGGCCTTTGCAGGTACGGCGACAGCATCATGAGCTTCTCCATCTGTAATAACCACCAGGAACTGTGGAACGTCTGGCCGACCGCCATTAGATGCATCAAAATACTTTGAAATAAACGAGAGTGCTTTCCCTGTGTATGTGTCTCCTGTTAACTGTTCAATGCCGTCGATTGCTTCTTCTAATTCATTTTGGTCAAAGTACCTGTTCAGGGGAAATTGCTCCTGTGGGTTATTGCTGAACTGGACAACACCAACATGCACACTGTCTTCTCCGATGATGGTCCCATTTACAACTTTGGTAATAAACGTCTTCATTGATGTAAAGTCTGGGCCATAAATGCTGGAAGAACCATCAATCAAAAACATGATATCTGCCACTTTGTTCTTGCAGGCTAAAGAAAGTAGAAAAAAAATCATTCATTATTTAATCGTGTTTTACAGTACATACCTGTATTTTATATTCACTTTAAGGGAATATACCGAATAACACTATAATGGAAACTGTATAACATCTATAATTTATTTAAATTACTAACAAAAAGGATTATATTTAAGAATTATATTATATTTAAATATTTGTTTCCAAAAGTCCACAGAACAAACCAACATTATACAATACCTAATTACCCTAACCCGCCAAGTTAACTTAATTAACCTAGTTAAGCCCTTAAATGTCAATTTAAGCTGTATAGAAGAGTCTTGTAAAATATCTAGTAAAATAATTTGTACTGTCATAATGGCAAAGACAAAATAAATCAGTTGTTTGAAACCATTATTAAATTATTAAAACTATTATGTTTAGAGATGTGTTGAAAAAATCTTTCCTATATATATATATATATATATATATATATATATATATATATATATATATATATATATATATGTGTGTGTATATGTGTATATATATATATATATCTATGTGTATATATATATATATATGTGTGTGTGTGTGTGTGTGTGTGTGTGTGTGTGTATATATATATATATATATATATATATATATATATTTTTTTTTTTTTTTTTTTTTTTTTATCAATATAGTTTAGTCATAGTTTACATTGGTCCAGCATAGTTACATTATTAGCTTCTAGTCACATAATTTTCCATAAATACATTTTAATATGCTGTTTGTTTATCAAGAAAATATTATTCTTATTACTATTAGTTAATATAGTTGTTTCCTAATTTAACCAGATAAAAACCCATTAAGATCAAGATCTCATTTACAAGGGTGACCTGGCCAAGAGGTTCGCAACGCACGACTTATGAAAAAATAAATAGATAAAAATAAATAGATAATTAATAATAATAATAATAATAATAATAATAATAATAATAAATGAAAAGTAAATAAAAATACAGTTTAGTTGTTTTTGTATACCACATTACAAAATGTTAAAAACACATACATTGACAAATGAACTTGTAGGAATGAAAATTATCATATGCATTTGTTTGTATGACAAAATATTATGCCACCAAATCTGATACATGTGCTTTGAAGGAAAGTTCCTGACCAAGTAAAAAGCCTAAATACTTGTAGCTGGACACTAAATTTATTTGTTCACCTTGGTCAGTGGTAATTATCGGTTGGTTCTGCAAAGGGGTTTGAAAGATTTGTAAAAAACATTAATTTAGATATATCTACATTTAAAACCAATTTTAGATCCTGAAAATGAGACTAAACAACATTAAAAGCAGATTGCAAAGATTGTATGGCCTGAACAAGTGAAGGAGAGCAACAGTAAATCACTGTATCATCAGCATACAGATGATAAATGGTATTTCGAAGGTTGTCGCACAAGTTATTTATGTAAATAAAAAATAATATAGGTCCTTATAGCAATCCCTGCGGCACTCCTTTTGGCACCTCTAAAGACAAAGAAGTCAATCCGCCATATGGACACACTGTGTTCTGTTGGAAAAAAAATTAGCAAACCAAGTGTCTGGTTTGACATACCAATAATACAATTTTACTCTATTAGTGTAATGTTAAAAAATATTACTGTTAACATTTTTTTCTGGGAATCTCAGTTAAATTTAAATTATATAATATTAAAAGAAATTTATCACAATTGTAATAATACACAGTTTAAGTCAGAATTATTAGCCCCCCTGAATCATTTCGCTGCCCTGTTTAATTTTTTCCCCAATTTCTGTTCAACGAGGTAAAGATTTTTTCAACACATTTCTAAACATAATAGTTTTGATAATTCATTTCTAAAAACTGATTTATTTTATCTTTGCCATGATGACAGTAAATAATATTTGACTAGATATTTTTCAAGACACTTCTATACAGCTTAAAGTGACATTTAAAGGCTTAACTAGGTTAATTAGATTAACTAGGCAGGTTAGGGTAATTAGGCAAGTCATTGTATGACGATGGTTTGTTCTGTAAACTATCAAAAAAATAGCTTGAAGGGGCTAACAATTTTGACCTTAAAATGGTTTATTAAAAATTAAAAACTGCTTTTAGTCTAGCCGAAATACAACAAATAAGACTTTATCCAGAAGAAAAAAATTATCAGACATACTGTGAAAATTTCCTTGCTCTGTTAAACATCATATAGGAAATATTTAAAAAAGAAAAAAAAACTCAAAGGGGGGCTAATAATTCTGTCTTCAACTGTACTATGATCAGTTTTGAATACATTTAATGTGTCACTGTTTTTTGAATGGTATTGTATCTTCAATGCTTTTATAAATTCTTTATTTATATAATTAGTCTCTCTAAATTATCTTGTTAACAAGTAAACAAACAAAAAAAAAGAAACAACAATATGTTGCTGTATATGTTTGATAACTCTCTTACCCTCTTGAGAGCAAATATCTGTGACAATTTCTCGCTTGAGAACATTCAGGGCATCGTAGTTGGTCACATAGAAATCCTTAGTTTCATCAGCCGTCATCTTCAAGAGCTCATCCTGGCTGGCATCCTTTACTCCAATGGCATAAACCGAAACCCCTTGAATCCTCAGCTCTTCTGCTGGATCCCCCACATCATCTTGAGACGTCTTATCAGTAATGACAATGAGAATCTCCTGCACTTTAGCTGGACGGGATGCTTTAGCCTGATTAAAGAGACTGGCCACATATTTTAGTGCTTTGCCTTTCTCTGAGCCTCCAACAGGCTGACTGATTCCCCTCACGGCTGCTTCAAAAGAAGCTCTGTTTTTGTGCTCTGTCAGGCTGAATTGAAGAGTGGGATTGCGGTCGACTTTTACAACTCCTACACGAACTCGATTTGGTCCAATGTTGAATAACTGAAGGGAGCCTAAGATAAATTTCTTCACATCTTCAAAGTCGGCGCGAGTGCTGCCAGAGTTGTCCAACAGGAAATAAATGTCTGCTTCCTCTGTGTTCACACATCCTGAAGGTAAGGATTAAATAACATGTACGAGAAATGGTTAGTTGAGTGAAGTTAGCTGAGTAAATTATAAGTGAAACTGAAGGCAATTGCACAACATTATGAGCGTGATTTACTATGAGGATCACAAACCCTCTTTTGATGCTTAAAAACAAGTCAGACTGGAAACTGTTTGAGTTTGGAAGCAAAATGGATACTTTAAAAATGTAAAGCCAAATTTGCTGCCTGAATTGATTATTGGGGAAGAAAAGAGTCACAAAGCGATGGTGAGTGATTTTGAAAAATATTATTGTTACAGAAAAACTGAGATAAATTGAAATTTTCAAATTAAAATTTATCAAATTTATGGACTTGTGTGACTATACTTTGTCCACACCAGATGTGATCGTTGTAACTTGTTTTAAAACAGCTAGAAATTGCCCACAAATGTGACAAATGCAAATTGCATGGGTATATTTTCTGGCAGTTTCAAAGTTGTATGCAACCCAGGCTTATTCTGAAAATGTACCCCTATATACATTTCTGGAGAGAGCCAAATACATCCCAGGAGCTACGTTTTTTCCAGTTTCTGTTTTCGTGAATCCACCAGACGCCGCTGTTTGTGCTTTTTGAGATCTTAAATTTCACAAGTGTAATTCGTGCCTACTGTTCTTGTGTAAATCCACCAGAAGCCGCTGTCGACTGACTGACTGATCGACTGACTGATCGACAGACCCACCCCTCTGTAGTCTGTATTTGTCTAATACATAAGCTCATTGTCCTATTTTGACTGCTATGCCATCATAAATAGAGAAAATAACCCATCGAAAAAGGTTTCAAGACCAAGTGGAATCCTCTGTTGGGTGTTGCTTTGGTGTGATGTCAGCTTATCAGTTTTGGCCAGTGCAGAGTTCAACATCCAGCTGAGCAAGAAAACATACAATCTGACGTGAGTGAAGTCATCTTTCACTTCTATATTGTTTTTAAATATAGAAAACATGTTACAAGTGAATTTTATTCTAAATCTTGGACCTTATTCTTGAAACAAAAACTAACCAATAAAAAGGTGTGAAACACCAAAAGCGACCAATATTAAAATTAATTTGAAAACTATTATGGCTATTGTTGTTATCTATAAATTTTCAATGTACTTTTTTTGGTTTTGATTACCATCTGTCAATCTATTTTAACTAATATTGTGCCTAAAATGTCACTATATTCGTCATACCACCCCGTAGCATTCGTTTGAAAGACGAAATGCGGCATACATACTTTTGGATACATAATTTGTGCACTCCAAAAATGTATATTGGGCTACGTTGTCAGAATAAGCCTATTGTATGGGTCAAGATCATTAAATTTTCTTTTATGCCAAAAGTCGTAAGACTGTAAGGTAAAGATTGTGTTCCATAAATATATTTTGTACATTTCCTACTGTTAATAAATCAAAACATCATTTCTGATTAGTAATATGCCTTGTAAGAGCTTCATTTCTATCACTTTAAAGGCGATATTCTTAATATTTAGATTTTTATAATCCTCATAATCTAGATTTTCTTATTGCGCTTTCCAAATAAAACCAAAATGAAATCAATGGAAAGCTTATTTATATGGCTTTCAGATAATATATAAATCTCAACTTTAAAAATGAACACTTTTGATTTGTAATCCATGGGCACAAATGTAGAAATGAGCATGTCAAATACAATTGAGCGATTTGTTGCTTACATCACAACCGGTGTGGACAGAAACACTAATTATAATGGGTTTTACTGTCACATTCCAGTAAAAATGTCAAATTCTTGCACACTTTCTTTTCATAAGTTGTATCATCTAGAGCCAAAGGAAATGATTTTCTTTTCTGGATGAACTATCCCTTTTAGAAAATTAATGCCATCAGCATTTCAGTAATACTGTTTGTTATTTCTTTTTTAACTAAGCTTAAAGGGATAGTTCACCCCAAAAAAAAAATTTAAATTAACTCAACATTTACTAACCTTTGTGTGGTTTTAAACCTTTATGAGATCCTTTCCTCTGTTGAACACAAAATAAGATACTAAAACCTGTAGCTATTGACTTCCATAGTAGGAAAGTAGTTAAGTCAATGGTTACAGGTTTCCAGCATCAAAATCTCTTCTTTTGTGTTTAACAGAAGAAAGAAAGCCAAGCAGGTTTGGAACAAGGGATGACAGAATATTCATCCTTTTAATTTTGGTTTACCTTGTTTTAGGAGCAATCTGTTGTTCTTGTCAAATCGTCTGTTGACCACCACCTTACACAGACTCTTTCTGAGGCTCTTCTCCAGAGATGAAAGCATCAGGAAGCTTCCCACATTGAACACAAACTCATGTTCTGGGTAGGATCCGATTTTTTTGAGCTCCTCCACACTAGCGTTCTTCACTCCGAGGGCATACACGGTGACTCCTGAGCGCCTCAGTTCAGCAGCTGTGGTCGTGACATCATCCTCGGACTCGCCATCAGTCATGACGATGGCAATCTGCTTAACACCCAGAGCTTTCCGGCTCCCCCTCTTCTGAGTGAACAGATTGTTCTGGGCGAACTTTAGGGCTGCACCGGTTGCTGTTCCTCCACCTCTGTATGGAATGATTTTAATGTAGTTCATAATATCGTTCTTGTTAGCAAACGTGTCCAGGTAGAATTCGGCGCTGGGTCTGTCGTTATAAAGCACCATTCCCACCCTCACGCTGTCAGAGTTCACCTCTAGGCCGCTGATAATACGGTGGAGAAAACGTTTGATCAGCTCAAAATTGTTTCGGGTGATACTACCTGACTCGTCCACAATAAACACAATATCCGCCACTTGGGCTGATCTGCAATCTGTTGAAAAACAATAAAAATGAGTTAATATTTGGCGGGAAACAGTGGTAAAATGATGTGGGAGGAAAAAAAGTGTGACCTCAATTATCTATTTAAAGGTGCATTTAGCAATTACAAGGATTTATTCAGAATACCATAGTATTCTTAATATTGTTGTGTCACAATATGGTTGCGTTCAAAAGGTGTAAAGGGTGCAAACAAGTGCCCCTTTTCTCACATGTTAGGCATCCTCTAAGCCAGTTCCTGCAGGACCGCAGCTTTGCACAGTTTAGCTTTAACCCTAATTAAAAACACCTGATCAAACTAATTGAGTCCTTCAGGCTTGTTTGAAACCTACAAGTAAAGCCACGGTCACACTGGACTTCTCGCCCCATAGACTTCCATTCATACGCATGCGAATGTGTCAGACCGGAAGCACAAACTCGTGCAACAAGTTTTGCAGTTCACTGTGTTGAGAAGTTTAAGCTTGGTGAAATCTGAGCTGCAAAATCGCATCACTTGACTGCGTGAGACCAATCAAAGATCAAAACATGACCTCTCAGTGCAGAAATTTGGAGCAATTGCTCTCTTTTTAAATGTCTAATCATCTTGTTAAATCCCGCCCATTTTCGCAGCACCGTACAACTGAACTCTAGTGTGACTGTGGCATAAGTGTGTTGAAGCAGGCTTGGAGATAAGATGTACAGAGATGCAGCCCTACAGGAACTAAGTTTGACGCCCCTGCTCTAAGCACACTTTGTCACCTTGGAATTATAAGGTTTTATCTGCGTTCTGAATGATTTTGAGATTTTGAGCTTCAAAGTTTTTGCATTCCATAAAGCAAACAGTCTGTGTAACAGTTTTTTTTTTTTAAAGTCTTGAAATGTAAACAACTTATAAAAAAACATCCCATCATGTAAATAAGTTGTAATTTAATAAGAATGTCAATAACTCAATTTTGACAAAAAATGTCAGATAGAAACATATAATTCTAAGGTGACGACTTGAAATGATTGAGCTCGACTTTCTACTTGACAATCAAAATGTCATTACATCACAAAAATGTGAACTCAAAATACACTCTATTGTACATTGTAATATGCGGCACACAGCAAAGCCTGCTGATACACAGTGTTAAAAAATCTGTTATCAATTTTCATGCAATGCTGTGTAAACCTAACCCTGCCCCCAACCCTACCCCTACCAGTGACATCACTAGCTCTACTGAATGCATGTTAGACTGCGTGTCTCAGAAAAATGACGTACAATTCCAGATTCACTTAACAAGAAGGCACTCAAAACATATAAAATTTGCACGACCTTTAATATGTATAATCTATTACATCTATTAAAAGTGCTGTTCTCATATTCTGACTGTTGCCCTCTTCACTCTTAACTGTTATATATTTATCCTCAGATCAGATATCTCTTTAATTTTTGTTTGATTTCTGTTGTTTTTTTTCCTATTATTTCTCTTGTTTTTCATTCTTTGTTGGCACCATTGTAAATAACCTAATGATTATTATTGTAAATGATGTGACCAAATGTATCTTTCTGTTATACAATAAATGTTAAAAAAAGACTGTGTGCCTCAGCTTGCATGGTTAAAAACTTTACCAAAACAGCCTTTTAGTAGCTTTGAACAGTTGTTTATACTTGACTTATTTTACGATAAAAGTGCTACTAAAAATTACACTAAAGGCTACTGAAGAGTTTAATTTTCAGCATCAAAATAAAAAAAAAAACCTGTGAATCATAAGCTATTCGCAACTGTTACTGTAATTAGAAAACTGTCTAACAGTACTGTATCCCACAAAGCAATCAATTTGATATTTCATTTAAAAAAAAAAAGAAAAAAAAAATAGTTGAACCTATCATGTTTAAACAGACAAAAACATGTCTTGCAGCACTAAAGTCTATCAGAATTATCTAAGGCATTTATGAGATGGATAGTTAAGTACGTCATAAAAGTTATTTTATTTAGTAATTTTTTTTTTTTATTAATTTATTTATTAAATTCTTTCAATAATTCATTTTCTTTTTAGCTTAGTCCCTTTATCAATCTGGGGTCGCCACAGCGAAATGAACTGCCAACTTATGCAGCATATATGCCCTTCTAGCTGCCCTATGGGCCATTAGCCCATAAATGCCCTTCCAGCTGCAACCGGGCTGCAAATGGGAAACACCCATACACACTCATTCACACACATACACTACAGACAATTTTAGCTTAACCAGTTCACCTGTACTACATGTTTTTGGACTCGTGAGTGAAACCAGAGCACCCGGAGGAAACCCACACCAAGACGTGGAGAACATGCAAACTCTACACAGAAACGCCATCTGACCCAGCAAAGGCTCGAACCAGCGACCTTTTTTGCTGTTAGGTGATCGTGCTACCCACTGCGCCACCGCGACACCCTATTTATTAAATAATTTTTTCACATTTTTTTAGAAATTATTTTTCTGGATATTGTCTGAGTTTTATAATTGTAATACATAGCTTGAGGCACAAGCCACCTGCTGTGGTGGAAAAAAAGCTTCATCTCAGAATCAACACACGATAAAGTTCATGTTACTTAATGCACCTATCAGAACGTTTACTGAATATAGTCTTGTGTGTCTGTGTTATTTGTAGTTAAAAGTAAACCAACCTCCTGTAACATTGAAAACCTCTTTCTCCTGAATTCTTTTTGTGACGTCAGCAGCCACATCAATAACATTTTGGTCGATCTGGAAGGCACGTAGTGAGGGGAACAAGGATTGTAAATTTGGTTCCAGTCTGATATCAATGACGGACACGTCCTCATTCTTCATTGTTCGTATGGCCCTCACAGTAGAGTCGTAAGAGTCTCCAGTTCTCAGCACCAGCAGATACTGCTTGTAGCCTTTCGCGATCCTGCTGCCAGATACTGTGTTCAGAAAATTTGTGCGAACATAATCTATGGCTTTTCCCAATTTTCGCTCTCCATTAAGCCTGGGCTCGAACCGATTTATGAACTCTCTGGCTTTCTGCGCTGTTTGGTAGTCTTTAAACAGGAACTCTTTGACGACGTTCTCACCAAACTGAGCCAGCGCAATCTTATTAGATCCGTCACCCACATTGAGCTGCACAAGCAGTCGGTTGAGAAGTTCCCTTATTTGCTGTGTTTCCCCCTGAGCTGTACTGTCCACCAACACAAATACATCAGTAAACTTCGGGGCCAGAGCTGAAACAAAGACAAAGAAGAAATTACGATTCATTTATACATCTGCACTGTAAAGACATGGATGTTCAATTTTTAATACCATGACTGCTTACAAATGAACCCTCATCACCAAAGTTCCTTAAAAATAAAACAAAACACATTTGTGCTTTTAAAAACACCAGACTCAGGGCAGACAATCTGTTAACTTAAGCAACATGCTTTTAGAAAGTCACAAACAAAACGCAGGAAACTGGTTAAACACATCTGTCCATGTTTATGAAACAAAATGTGGAAAAAACTGCGCAATGGAAAGCAAAAAAAGGGTTTTGTGCGAACAGCCCACAAGAGCGTCTAATTCTTGATTAAAACAATGCATACAGTAAGTTGTTTGCCTTGCAATGGTGTATTTGCACACTGACTTTTAATTTCAGTCAGCCAACCCCAGGCCTTCCAATTAATTGTCATCCCATACAAAAGCACCGGGTTAAAGTTCTGATTTTTTTTAAAAACCAGCGATCTTCACTGCCTGGCTGAGATAAATTATAAAGTGGGTCTCAGACCAAACAAGAAGCACTGCATAAATGTTTTTTTTCCCGCGCCATGTTTTTAAATTATGGGAATTAATCTTACTCCAGTATTTTCAATGGAATTTCTGCACTGGCCTGCGTTTAAACATATTTTTTATGTTTTAACAACTAAATAAATGCTTAAGTCTATTTAATTGATGATATCTGAATTACGTAACAACATCGATGCTGTGAAAGGAACCTAATGAAGCTGAAAATAGTTTTATAAAGCTCTCACTGACAGTTCATCATTGGCTGAAAAACACTAGCTGTGCATGTAGCCCATTGATATTTCTGTTTTAACAGACCTGAACAGTGCTGATTCCAAATCTGAATAAAAACTCTAAGAGAATATAAGTAGAAGGCGTGAAAATGACATTTGTTGCAGGTTCTTTGTTGGTTCAGTTCATTTTTTGGTAATGCGGAAAACAAACACAGCTATTTTATTATACTGTGTTTACTAAAATCAACATTGCTATCTTTTCAGTGGTTATGTGCAAGATTCTCCGGTAACACTTTAGAATGATAGTATCTATTTGTTTCTCCACTAAAAAATCCAATCATAAAATCAGGTCTTTATTTTTAGATCTTGTCATCTCAAATCCCTTTTCTATTACTTATTGGATCAGCTTTTTGATGATAATAAATGGTTGTATGTTTGGTCACTCACGCAGAATTTTTTTAACAAATAAAACTAAAAAAATAACTTTTAAAATTATAGATTTTATCCTGTTAAACCATTTTTACAGATATTCAAAAATGACAATGACGTCTCTTGCTCTTTCTGTGAGACATCTTCAGAGTCTGTTGCTCACTTGTTTTGGGAATGTCCCTTTGTTAAATCTTTCTAGTTCGATGTGAATTCTCTAATTGTTCAAAAGATTTGTGGTGACTTTTCTTAAAGCTATAGACTTATTATTTTGGGGTTTAACATTAAAGAAAATCAATTCCTTACTTCAACTTTTTGTATGAACCTAATATATTTATTGGTAAGTTTTTTTTTATGCATAAATGTAAATATACTCAATGTAAGCTAAATTTTGTATTTTTTAAACGGGAATTGGAACTGTACAGTACTTGAAAACCATTACAAGAAACAAGAAAGCAGTTAAAACTTATAAAACATGTGCTTTATTTAATATTTAGCAGTAATTAGCATTCTTTTTTCATGTGCCCTCTCTTATTTTTTATTTATTTTTTTATATTTTGTTTCTTCTTTTTCTTTTTCATTGTCTTTCTTTTGCTTTATTATTATATTTCTTTAAAATTGTCACATTTTTCTTGTTCCAAAAAATTTTATTTGTATTGTTTGTACTATACTGTCTGTTTGTATTTCTGTCTGTTGTTATTGCAATAAAAACGTTTAGAATGATGGTTAATGTAAGTTAATGTATTTACTAACATTAAGAATGAATAATCTTGTAAAGCATTTATTAATCATAGTTTAACATTAAGTAATGCATTATTCAAATCCAAAGATGTGCTTGTTAACATTAGTGCACAGTGAGTTAACATGACATACTGCCTACAACTAGGACACCTATTTATTGTACATATCGCTGTCAATTTTAAATTGTCCTGTTTTTTTGGGAGCATGCTGTTGTATTTTGCACTGTCATTTTATTTGCACTGTTGTTGTATTTGCACTATATGTATTTTGCACTGTCTGGAGCCAGCACCTAAGCTTTTCACTCATCATAGCACATGTGCTGCAAATTATGTGAAAATAAAAGTGATTTGATTTGATTTTGACTAACGTTATTTAACTAAAATAACATTAACCTTAACAAAGTAAAAAAAAATACCATAATAAACGTATTACTAATAGTTTGTTCAAGTTAGTAAATACATTGACAAACATTAGTTAACGGACCATTTTTTTAAAGTGTTACCGGTTTTGCAGGCATTAATCCCTTTTTTATTTACTTTTTTATTGTAAATATCATGTAACAAAACAAGATCTTTTCAAAAATGGCTATAAATCCCAGTAGACTCATTTTTATTTTTGAGAATTGAAACGTTTTTTTGCCAGAAAAATCTAAAAGATGTCATGTTTACACGTGTTTTAAAGACTTTGTCCTGTGTTCTATGCCAAATTTTCTGAATAAATCAGCAGCTGTTGGTCCCTACTGTAATGTCAATGTGTCATGCAAAGAAAAAATTATACATCCTAACCTCAGTCTTGAGCCAAATTCGCAGTGCACAGTAGATCCAGTCAGCAACAGACACTTTGGTGGGATTTGTCTGATCATTGTGTTGTTAAACTGGTCACACATTAAATATTGCATTTTAAAATACTGATTTAGGTTATTTTAACATGCCGTGAGATTGTGTTGGAACAGCATACAGAACGAGCATCACGCACCAGCAGTGTTTTTTTAGCAGCATAGAAAAACTGAATAAACAAGGGGGGCTAATAGTTCAAATGGACTAATAATTCTGACTTCAACTGTACATGTATACAGTAGTCAACAAAGTTTTTCTAAATTGTCCCAAGACAAGATTGGGTGTTGATAAATAGTTTTGAGGACAACTGTGATAAACTGTTTTAATCCATTTCGAATGTTGACTACTGTAGTTTAATGAAGTTGGGCAATGTTTAAATTATTTCCTAAAGCATCCATTATGAAATGTTTACATTAATCTGACATAAAAGCCAACGGACCCTTTTCACAAGACTGTTTTTATGCATTCAATGGTCATCATAAGCATCTCAAATCCTTGGAAGTTTTAAATATTTAGATCATATTTGCTTCAAATTACAAAAACACAATTAATAACAGCATATGGAAGGCCTATGGACTGTAAATTTGATGTTTTTCTCTCTTCTGTGATGTTGTTCTTCTCTCTCCACTTCTGCCATCTCACACATTTTTTTTCCTTTTTCTGAAAGTCTTTATAACATCATTGTGGCGTTCTTCTTTTATTATTTCAGCAAATAGGATTGTACAAAAATTATTTGTTGTACTCTCCCATTCACTGTGCTCTAAGTTTTTCCAACTAAGATGACTCCCGCTACTGAGAACCAGGAAATGTGAAAAGGGTCCACCTACAACACTACAACACACAAATGCAGAAGTGTTCTTCTTTATAGGCATTTGAGTTTACAGTTAAATCTAGCCTATAGCACCATCTGCCGTTTAAATCTAAGCTCAGAATTAATTCAAAAGAGAATATCAGTGCACTTTGGAAATCTCATGATCAATGCAGAATGTTTTTTTTTGTTTTTGCCACAGCTCAGATGTAAACAAAGTTGTGGACTTACAAAACAGGGTTGCAAAATGTACTTTACCTTTCCCCTGATCCCTCATTAAGACACACACTGTCTCCTTCATAGTGGTCGTCAGTCCTTGCAATGCTTGGTAGTTGTCAATATTAACCACAAAACGCTCAGGCGGGGTGCTGGCAATCGCCTTCAGCTCGGTCATATTGGTAGAACCGACACCAATGGCAAAAATGATAATACCCTTCTTTCGCAGATCTTCAGCTGGTCCCTTTATATCATCGGTTGAGTCTCCATCTGTGATCACCACTACAACCTGAGGCACTTTTTCACTGACACGGCTTCCACCAGCACTTGTGAAGTAATTGTCCTTTAGGAAATTCATGGCTTTTCCCATATACGTGCCTCCGGTTCGGTATGGAAGGTTGTCTATTTTCCTAAACAGCTCCGCTTTGTTAGCATATTCCCCCAGCAGAAACTCTTTGTGGGGATCCGTGCTGAACTGAACAACGCCAACTTGTACCTTTTTGGTGTCAATTTCCAAACCGTCCACAAACGTGTGCATGAACGTCTTTACCTCGCGAAAGTCCCGCGTGCCGATGCTGCTGGAACTATCCACAAGGAATACAATGTCATATGGGGGATTTTCATCCTGGCATCCTATGAATGACAGTAAAATAAACAGTATATCAATAAACTCATGACATATATAAGGATTTTAAAATTTGGAGATTTGTTTTAATGTTCATACATTAAAAAATGACGCAAAAAAACTGTAAAATAATGTATAATTAATTAAGATTTAATGTCACATGATGTTTCATTTCCATAATTTTAATATGTAGATTGGTGCTCAAGTAACATTTATTACGATTATCAATGTTGAAAATAGGTATACAGCTTAACATTTTTATGTAAACTGTGATGATTAGAGATTTCAAATTAAAATTTTGATGACTCCAAATGTTTGAACAGGAATATAAATATGATTTTAAAAAACATGAAAATAACGATTAATCAAAGTATCAACAATCTACAAACTACCTGGTCAACACTACTTTACACAACCCAAGCTCAATGTGGATACGTACCGCTGTATACATTTTAGGAGAGGGCAAAATATGTCTCAGGAGTTATGTTTTTTTGCATTTTTGTTTTCGCAAATGCCATTCGCTCTTACTCTTCTCGCGTAATTCCACCAGAGGCTGCTGTCGACAGACTGACCCACCAACCCATAACCCAACCCACCCAATGGGGTATATGCCGATGTATGCTAATAGGACTTTTAATGTGCCAGTAACCTGGGTTAAGCGCTTCCGGTGAACTGAATGCCATTACAAAATCACTGTGTTTAAGGTCTGTTTTCTTTAAAAATCAGGCTGAGTGATATCAAAAAAAAGCACTGCATTGCATCAAATTACATTCACCCCGCCATGTCTTTATAATATGAGCATTTATTTTATTTTTTAAGTAAATGGAACTTTTGCGCTAGCCTGCCGATTCTGACGGGCACGTGCGAGTAAACAGTATTTTGTCTCGTTTTACGCTTGAGCAACTAAATGAATGCCAAAATCTATTTAACTGATTGTATTTTAATTACGTGGCAAGCTACTGAGCAAACAGCAGCAAAGCCGTCCACATAGAGTTAAGCGGTCAGCTGGTAGCGCGAAAAGGAACAAGCCATCGGCGACATCATACTGCCACGTAGCTTTCGATTTAAATACAAAATGCAGCCATACATACCTCTGGCTACATAATTCACGCTCTCAGAAATGTAGCAAGGGTTAAGTATTCACAATGAGTCTGTGTTGACTTTAAACAAACCCTAAACTCAAAGCATTTTTAGGATTGTTATTAGTTCAACTTCTGAGGCCTTTTGGCAATGGTTAACCAAATGTTTCAACCAAAAACATCACAAAATACAGTCAGTATTATATAGAGACAGTATATATTTTTTTGTCTAGCTGTTTATTACATTCTGCATTATAAAGTATTTGTATATTTATCTGGATAAAAGTCTGGATTTACCTGTTAGCTGTGCAGTGCTCACAAGGAAACAGGATGCAAAGAGAAAAACAAAAAGAAATGTCTGTGCCTTCCCCATTGTCCTGAAACAGAAATAATTTTTCATGATACATACATGTTTTTATAACATGATAAAAAAAAATCTGAAAACCATACAGTCAGTATTTAAAAGATATACAGAAAAATGGACAATAAAATTATTATTAATAATAATAATAATAATAATTATTATTATTATTATTATTATTGTTGTTGTTGTTGTTGTTGTTGTTGTTGTATGAAATCATTACAGAATTAATTTCTAAACAAACAAATTTATTCTATGTGATATCATTTTTCAGACAAATAACAACCAGTAACCACTAACAATCAGTGTCATAAACTTCAATCAATGAAGTAAAGTTTTGTCAAAAAAATTATACTTTTGAAAAAGGTGCTGAAAAGCATCCATTTGTCTATTTGTCTGCTACGCAAACAAAACAAAAGCATGAACAATGATGGCATAAATTATCTACTTCAGTAAGACAAACAAAAGTGTTTATTTTTCCTGTTCAGAAATGTTTGTGTTGGACTGACAGCATCGAGCATGTTTCACAAACAGGCCCACTGAGAAATATAAGGTCAAATGAGGGCTTGTCTAGACCATGGAGCTCTCACAGCGCAAGATCCCAACTCTTTCATGTGGTGAGAAGAAAGGAATGCCAGTCTGTTCCTGGCACAAAAAAGAAAAACACAACAACTTAAAGATGAGACCCAAAAACCCCTACATGTCAGACTTCCCCTGGCTAAGATTTTTGTATTTGGTTGGTTAAACAAGTAAATAAATACAAAACACAATGTTGTAGAGCTTCTATCCTTTCTGTAAGACTCTGAATGGCAGCAGTGAATTAAAAAGGAAATGTGCAAATGACTGTTTTAAAATACTGTTCAAAACAAAGGCTCCGCTATGTCATTATACTATATACTATACACTATACTAGACATTTACAGGGCCATGTTATTAAAGGATAAAGGACTGTTTTCGCATGTTTTTTTCACACAACACCAAAAATAGCACAAAACAGCGTTTGCCTGACCCGCTTATATCTGTATGGATGTCTTTTCTGAAGTGGTCAGTTTGCTCGGTAGCTCACCTTGTACAGTGTTGTACAAAGGAACACAGAGCAAACCAGGTTAGAGTCTGGCAAAGGACCATTTTGCTGATTGAGATTTGTAATTTAGGGTTATGGTTAGGGTTAGCAAAGTATTTCCAATGAGCGCATTTACATGAATTACAAGCATTTGTATAATATACATTAATTAGATTACATTTAATAAACAGACAATGTGTGCAAAAGGCGATTAAAGAAAGTGAAAGCATGTTGTTGCGGATGGTGCCCGGAGGACTTTTATTATGAAAGTATAGATCGCCGCTGGCCGGAAAAGAAAGTGCTTTCACTCTAGCGATCGCTAGATCATCGCAGCCATTGCTCACGTGCAGTCCTCCATCTGTTAAGACCCACAGACGGACACTGCAGCTCCCTTTCGTGACAGAAGATTGTTTATGGTGTTGTGTGCGTCCTATAAGAGTGAGTAGCAGTCCGGATGGCATGTAAATAGAATGAGAGAACATTCCAAACGTGATGCTTGTGTTAAATCATTACAGTGCTTAGCATAGCAGGCTAAAGCTCTCATGTCTAGTTATGAGTAAAGACATTTAATGTTTACTGTTATATAATATGTTTATGGTTCACTTTGTTCTTGTTTATGGGGAGCAGCCTATATTGTGAATGTGACTTATTGATGTAAGAGTTTAATTTAGTTTTATACTTTGTGTGTTTCAGAGAAACCACACCCCCTATACACCCTACAAACATCCCTAAGTGCTCAGATCAAGGATCTAGTGTTTCAGTTCATACAAGCAAGCGCACGCCAAGTTATCTTCTCATTGGCCTAAATGTTGATGTACTAAGCCCTACGGACTTCAGTGGATGCTTTAAAGCTGCTCTGCCCATACTATCAATGTTTGCTGCTGGATTAGAGCTCACTCCCCATCCTGTTAATTCTTACTGATTGATAGCTGTACAGGCTGGCTCCCCCCCCCCCTTTGTGGACAATTTGCAGTTTGCAATAAACCCTGTTTAACTTCACCTCATCTCTCTGTCGTGTTCTAACCGACACCCCTGGTTCGCTACGCTCCCTTTAACTAGCCCTAACGGCAAGGTAGTCTTCACTACATTTATTGGTCCTTCGAGCCGGATTGTAGTTGTGCTAGGATTATGCAGCAGAGTGAGCACGCATCGTGGGCCCTCCCACGGCCAAGACGTCAGGTGAGACAGCCAACATATTTACAAGATTATGAAGTGAGTGCTGTGCGACCCAAGTCACATACTTCAAGAAATTTTAATTTGTCCCTGCCTGTCCCTAGTGAGTCAGTGCACAGCCAGCAGCCTCACATTCAGTGGCGCAGACCCCCTGAGACACAAGCAGAGTATGCGTTAGATCCAGAAAATCAGTATGAGGATATCAGCCGTGGATGGCCACTTAACCCTAAACCATGCACTCAGGTGGACATTGAGCAAAGTGAGTTAATCAGAGGAAGCAACGCGAACAGTTATACTTCACTATATGGCCAGAGAAGGGAACCCATGTTATCGGCTTTGAACCAAGCACCAGTAGCTGAACAGTGCGATCCACTATTTGAATCATGGCCAGTTTCTTCTATGCCAGTAGCAGAGGCCCCTTTGATGCCTGAGGAAGAGAATGAAGAAGTAGATACGCCACCTCCCCCCCGGCCTTCCTCTAACTACCTACCAGAGCCAACAGTTGAAGAACACCGTGTGTTTACTGCTATTGATCGGATGATGAGTGAGTTACAGTTAATGAGAGACAGAATGACGCCAAACCGCATAGCACAAACTCATCCACATTCGACACATCAGAGTCATAACTCCCCTCACCATAGTAGAGGCTTGGAACATAACACTTGGTGCCAGACGCAACAGTCAGGACCCAACATATCTAGCTTTGGTCACCCGCCCAGTATGCATAGCACCAGTAGAGGTCCTTTACCTCAGCCACGAGTAAGACCTTATATGAGTCAGCCTCAGAATGCAAGGAGCCGAGAGCAATCATGGGTATCCACATGTCAATCAGGAGGAGAGTATCGGGGGCCTGCTCCGAAAATTCCTCAGTTTATCCATAATGACCCCATGGAGTTTTCACGATTCAAGTTGGCTCTGACTAATCTGTTGCCAGCAGATGCTCCTGAACTCTTTAAGTATCAGATACTTGTAGACCATGTGAAGCTTGAGGAGGCCTGTCTCATCGCTGACTCCTTCATTAATTCACCCCGGCCATACACCGATACAATGAATGCTTTAACAGAGAAGTTTGGACAGCCACACCACATAGCCTTACGGCGAATAGCTGCTTTGATGGAGTCACCGGAGATCAAGAGAGGAGATCTAATGGCCTTTGAACGGTTCTCGCTGCATGTCCAGTCACTGGTAGGAATGCTCCAGACTTTGGGCCCAGATGGAGATGTCGAGCTGAGCTGCGGCTCACATGTAGCACGCTTACTTACCAAGCTTCCCATCGAAATGAGAGCTAACTTTCGTCGTTCAAGGTTCCATCATCCGAGACATACCCCTACCCTGCTCGACTTAGCTGAATGGTTACGCTATGAGTCATGGTGCCAAGGTTACGACACCACTCCAGAACCTCGCACCTCACGGGTGACTGGATTAAGAGCGGATAAAAGATTTAATAAGCCTGTTGCTACAGTTCTTCATGGTTCTGAGAGTAGTACTTCAAACAGAGCTCAGTCAGAGAGTCAGAGCCCATCCTCCTCCAAGCAGAAGAGCCATATCAAACCTTACTGCCCCTACTGTAACAATACAGAGCACTTCCTCAATAAATGTCAGGCCATTCAGAAGCTTACACGGGAACAGATCGTAGAGTGGATTAAATCGCACAAACGGTGCTGGAGATGTGGAAGAGCCCATCAAGCCTCTCAATGTGACCTGAAGAGGCTCTGCGATATCTGCCAAAAGAGGCACTTAAGAGTACTACATGATGCTAATACTCGTCCTGAAGAGTCCAAAGCTGAAAGCTGCCTAGTGAACACCAGCCTGGATGTCCTGTATCTTGATAAACCATCGTCTCATGCTCGAGTACTGCTAAAGGTTGTCCGAGTCACCCTACAAAATGGAGACAAGACACTAGATACTTATGCAATCTTGGACGATGGATCAGAGAGGACAATGCTCTTACCAGAGGCAGTCAACCAACTTAATTTGGATAAGAGACCCGAAACCCTCGCTCTCCGTACAATCCGTCAGGAAGTCCAGACATTGAATGGAGCTTCAGTCTCATTTAAAATATCATCCACGTCGAAGCCCAAGAAAACATTCCAGATCAAGAATGCTTTTACTTCCAAGCGCTTAGGCTTGGCAGACCACTCGTACCCCGTGGCCAGTCTCAAGAAGAGGTACAAGCACCTAGCTGACCTTCCCTTGGAGTCCTTCGCCTTCGTCAAGCCGCTTGTGCTGATTGGTGCAGACTACCCTCAGCTGATCTCTCCTGTTGAACCTGTGAGACTAGGCCCTCCAGGAGGTCCGGCAGCCATTCGCACCCGATTAGGCTGGACACTCCAAGGACCGGCACATCTCATCCAGTGGGCTCCAACTACCCAGCAGTGTCTTCACACTAGTATATCATCACCAACCCTGGAGTTGATGCAGAATGTAGAGAGGCTCTGGAAGATGGACGCTTTGCCGTATCAGAGCACTAGGCTGGCTGTGAGGTCAAAGGAGGATAAAGAGGCGTTAGAACTTCTGGAAGTCAAAACAAAGCGAGTACAAGACGCAGGCATCTTCAGATATGCTACACCTTTGCTGAGGAAACAAGGTGTACCCCCCCTCAGAGCTCAGAAAGAAAGTGTCTTACCTAGCCTCAGGGCCCTAGAGAGACGTCTGGCCAGGGACCCTCAACAAGCCGAGGAGTACTGTGCAGCCATTAGTAAGTTGGAGGAGGCAGGAGCCATTAGGAGACTCACTACAAGTGAAGTATTAGACTCTGCTGAGTCATATTACATCCCGCATCATGTGGTGCGTCATAATGGGAAAAGTCGTATAGTCTTCAATTGCTCTTTCCCATACCAAGGCCGTAGCCTTAACGACACCCTCCTACCAGGACCAACTCTTGGAGCCTCTCTTCTGGGAGTTCTGCTACGTTTCAGGGAACATGCCGTGGCAATCAGTAGCGACATCAGAGGCATGTTCCACCAAGTCCAACTTTTACCAGAAGATCAGCCGCTCCTCAGATTTATATGGAGAGACATGAAACGTGCCGATCCACCTGCAGTCTTTCAGTGGCAGGTTCTCCCCTTTGGTACTGCATGTTCACCTTGCTGTGCCACGTTCGCACTCCATAGACATGCAAGGGATCACAGTGGAGTAAATAATGCAGTCCTTCATTCAGTGGAACATTGTTTCTACGTGGATAATTGTCTCCAGAGTCTGCCGACAGCTGAGGAGGCCAAGGAGTTAGTTGACCAGCTCAGAGACGTGCTGGCATCTGGAGGGTTTGAGCTCAGACAATGGGCCTCCAATGTACCTGATGTTCTCCGACACTTACCTGCTGAGGTGAGGTCCGACAGTATGGAGAGGTGGCTTTCGCATGACGAACCTGGTCTTCCGGAACCAGCCCTGGGCCTCAGTTGGCACTGGGGATCAGATACCCTCGGTTATAGAAGCAGACCTGTGGAATACAAGACACTGACAATGAGGAACATTTATAAAGTGCTGGCCCGCCAATACGATCCTTTGGGATTCATAGCGCCCTACACTACTCGAGCAAAGCTCATTGTTCAGAGCATGTGGGACAAACCCCGTGACTGGGATGACCCATGTATCCCCCCTGACTTGCAGAAGGCATGGACGACATGGGAATCTGAGCTTCACTGGCTACCTCACATTGCTGTACCTCGTCCTTATGCTCCAGGCCTCACTGAACCGATGGTGGTCTCAAGACAGATACATGTATTCAGCGATGCCTCCACTAAAGCGTATGGCTCTGTGGCATACATTAGGACTGAAGATGTCCAAGGACGAATACAGGTAGCCTTCCTCGCTGCACGATCTAGAGTGGCACCTCGTCGCCAACACTCAATCCCTCGCCTTGAACTTTGTGGAGCGTTGACTGCTGCTCAATTAGCGAAGAAGATCGAGACAGAGCTAACCATCAAGACAGATAAACCAATACTCTGGAGTGACTCAACGACAGTATTAACCTGGTTGCATTCGGAGTCATGCCGGTTTAAAGTTTTTGTGGGCACGCGTATTGCAGAAATTCAGGAGCTAACCGCAGGGAGTACCTGGCTTTATGTTGACACTGCCCAGAACCCAGCTGACGATGTGACCAGGGGAAAGGCCTTGGCAGAGCTTGCTGTTCCAAATCGTTGGAGTCAAGGACCGCTCTTTCTTCATAAACCCTCTACGGACTGGCCATCACAACCTGGAGAACTCCTTGAGCAGGACATTTCTGAGTACAAGAAAGTGACTCTATGTGGAACAATCTCCAAAGCTAACAGACAGGAGGCTCAAGGGGCCTTAACTTACCAGTCTTGGAATGACCTGATGGAGTCAGTAGCACAGGAGGCATATGGGGCGGCCAATCAAGATACCTGTTTAACTGCGGAGGACTATCGTCGAGCGGAGAAGTCTATCTTCAGTAGGATCCAAGCAGAGTGCTTTCCAGAAGAGTTACATTGTCTTAAAGCAGGTAAAGCTGTGCCTCGCAGCAGCCGTCTTGCATCTCTATCACCAGAGCTCGATCCCAGTGAGGGATTTATACGAGTAGGAGGGAGACTCCGACGAGCTGAAGGGTTAGACACAGCCTTCAAGCACCCTATTCTCTTAGACCCGTCACACCATATGACAAAACTCCTCATTCGGGATTACGATGAACGACTCTGTCATCCAGGTCCAGAGAGAGTCTTTGCGGAGATACGTCGCACGTTCTGGATCCTTCGTGGAAGGGAAGCCATAAGGAGAGAGCAACACCAATGCCAAGGGTGCCAGCGATGGAAAGCTAAACCCTCAGTTCCAAAGATGGCAGATCTTCCCTTAGCTCGCCTTCGCCTATACCAACCGGCATTTTACTCAACAGGCGTTGATTGCTTTGGTCCATTTCAAGTGAGGATAGGAAGACGTTCTGAAAAGAGATGGGGCATTATTTATAAATGTCTTACAACTAGAGCGGTCCATTTGGATCTCCTGCATGCCATGGATTCGGACTCGTTCCTAATGAGCTTAAGGCGATTCATTGCGCGCCGTGGCAGTCCAGCTGAGCTTTATTCTGACCAGGGCACGAATTTCAGAGGAGGTGAAAAGGAGCTGAGCGAATGGTTTAGTCGCATGTCTCCTGACCTTCAGCAACTCCTCGCCAAGCAGAAAATCGCCTTCTGTTTTAACCCCCCTGCAGCTCCACACTTTGGGGGGACATGGGAGAGGGAGATTAAGTCTGTTAAGATGGCCTTGAATACTGTCATTGGAGCTCAGCCCATATCTGAGGAAGTCTTACGCACTGTTCTATTGGAGGTCGAAGCAATACTAAACTCTAAACCATTGGGTTACACTTCCTCAAATGTTGCCGACCTGGATGCTGTGACGCCAAGTATCCTTCTAATGGGGCGGCTTGATGGCACACTGCCGCCAGTTGTGTATCCAAAGAGTGAAGGATTAAGCCGGCGGAGATGGCGTCACTGCCAAGTGTTGGCTGATCACTTCTGGGCAAGATTTATCAGGTGCTATCTGCCCACACTACAGTGCCGCCAGAAGTGGCGTGATACTCAAGCCAACCTGACAAATGGAGCTGTAGTCATGTTGATGGATCCACAGTACCCTCGAGCACTCTGGCCTATTGGCAGGGTGATTAAAGTTCACCCAAGTGTGGATGGATGTGTACGATCTGTAGATGTACAAGTTAAGGACAGGGTTTACACCCGGCCTGTTGCCCGGCTTATTCTTCTACCTGCAATCCCAGCTGAGAATGTTGAGGAAATGGCTTGAATGAATCCTAATTAACAGTACACTTTTGCATGGTCAAATTGCAAGCAATTTGGGGGCGGCTGTGCAAAAGGCGATTAAAGAAAGTGAAAGCATGTTGTTGCGGATGGTGCCCGGAGGACTTTTATTATGAAAGTATAGATCGCCGCTGGCCGGAAAAGAAAGTGCTTTCACTCTAGCGATCGCTAGATCATCGCAGCCATTGCTCACGTGCAGTCCTCCATCTGTTAAGACCCACAGACGGACACTGCAGCTCCCTTTCGTGACAGAAGATTGTTTATGGTGTTGTGTGCGTCCTATAAGAGTGAGTAGCAGTCCGGATGGCATGTAAATAGAATGAGAGAACATTCCAAACGTGATGCTTGTGTTAAATCATTACAGTGCTTAGCATAGCAGGCTAAAGCTCTCATGTCTAGTTATGAGTAAAGACATTTAATGTTTACTGTTATATAATATGTTTATGGTTCACTTTGTTCTTGTTTATGGGGAGCAGCCTATATTGTGAATGTGACTTATTGATGTAAGAGTTTAATTTAGTTTTATACTTTGTGTGTTTCAGAGAAACCACACCCCCTATACACCCTACAAACATCCCTAAGTGCTCAGATCAAGGATCTAGTGTTTCAGTTCATACAAGCAAGCGCACGCCAAGTTATCTTCTCATTGGCCTAAATGTTGATGTACTAAGCCCTACGGACTTCAGTGGATGCTTTAAAGCTGCTCTGCCCATACTATCAATGTTTGCTGCTGGATTAGAGCTCACTCCCCATCCTGTTAATTCTTACTGATTGATAGCTGTACAGGCTGGCTCCCCCCCCCCCTTTGTGGACAATTTGCAGTTTGCAATAAACCCTGTTTAACTTCACCTCATCTCTCTGTCGTGTTCTAACCGACACCCCTGGTTCGCTACGCTCCCTTTAACTAGCCCTAACGGCAAGGTAGTCTTCACTACACAATGCATGTTAAAATAATAGTTCATCCAAATAAAATATTACACACCCTCCACTTGTTTAAAGCCAGTTTGAGTTTTGGCTTGATATATGAACAATATCAAATGGGTAGCAGTGCGATGTAGCTGTATATCAACACTGGTTGGAGTCATTAGTGTACCATAAGTGACAATATACAGCTACATCGCACTGCTATGAGTGTGATATTGCGCTTATACAGCAGTTTGACGGCATAATTGTGTATATTAAAAAAGAAAATCAAATACAATCTCAAAACCCTTTAGTAAAAGAAACTACTTTCTTCTGCCATTTATTCACATCTGCAACTGACAACATCAGCAACAGGAACCTTTGCTCATTCATTAACGTCACTTTAGAGCTAGTATTTGAATGATTCTCTAGTGAAATGTCTAAAGTTATGACAAAACAGGTGATTTTGCCCACATTTTAAGATCATAAGGCTGAACGGCATGAAATGCCATCAGTCTACAGAGATTTCCCAGTATTTTTCTGATGCAATCGGGAGATCACAATATTACTATGGTATAAATGCAGCACTACAACATACAAAAGACAGAGATCGACTTAGAAAGTCATTTACCTGTTTAATAATGATTTGATCAGCTGTAGTTTCGAATTTCACTGTTTTTCTCTAAGAGGTATTATGTGGTCTCTGTCGCCATCTTGTGGTTAAACATTGGAAACATTGTCAACCCCCGATGCGCTGTCTCTCAGAAATTATAAATATTTTAAAATAGACACTATCCACCTAAATAAACTGCACAGTTGCAATCTAAACAACTACAGTCTCAACGAAAAAGGCCTCAAAAGTACATCATGTTGTCCAGCAGCAGCAATATTTGTCAAACTATAGAGCGTCCTCTGCTTGTAGCTGTATGGGGGCGGAGTAATACACTAGGGTGAAGGTTTAAGAGGCTGGACGAGTGCTGCTGGCAGAATATAACACGGCTATCAGCCAAACAGATTCAAGAACCAGACAGAACTGTTGTATAAACTGAAAATGGAAGACATCAGGCACGTGCACACATAGGGCTCAACCTGTGCAGTGCACATGCCCTTTTTAGTCTTGGATAGAAAGTGCCCTTCCAAAATGATTAAAAGTGCCCCTGCGACGCGACACACCCTCCATCCCACCCTTCAGTTGGCGCACGACAACACTGATCTTGAGTACGCGCACTCAACCCCCCCTCCCCCACTTTACATGTCCTTTGGACAGTCTCTGCACGGGCCTGAAAGACATTCATAGTATGTTTTCCTCCTGATATGGATGTCAATGGCTGTGGAATTCTAACATTCGTCAGAATATCTTCTATTATTTTAATAATAAAAAAGAAATGTATAAAGGTTTAAAACCATTTGAGTGTGAGGAAATTAGAATTTTTGGATCAACCGCTTCTATCTCCCTTTTTTCTATAAGATTAAACCTGAAATCGAGGGGAGTATGACATCATTTGCCTGACCACACAGGACATAGTCCACTTTACTAGTTAAAATTGCTTCTTTCTCTGGATATGAAAATTTTTCGAAACATTTTGGATAATGTAAATACATAAGTCAGCAATATATATAGCACCTCTAGAGGTCCAGGCATATTACACTAGTAACATAATGGTGAATCAGAGTCTGTATAGTGCAAATGCACTGATGACATTTCCAGCCTGTGTGTACTGGCTCCATAAAGCTGGGTGCATGGAAACATACAAATCCATAGATATCCAAGACAGCCTGGACTGTTTGGACTAAACATTTTTATTGGACAAAGTTTTTTTCTGGTCTCATGCCTTCCACAGATGATATCAATACATATATGTTACATTTAGACCACTTAACTAAATGCGTGCTCTTCATTTGTGAAGAAACTTTTAACCAATATACCAAGCAACCTACCCTGCCTTTACACCAATGTAAACACATTAGACTGCTTTCTGTCAGTTTACTGAAGTGTGCATGTATGATACAGTATGTGACAGGAACATGTCCTTACTGTGGAATTAAGTGCATCCAGACAGCGCAACTATATTTTGCAGTAAGGGAGAAGGAAATATACCACAAATGAAGATGCTTTCTTAACCCCAAATATTATAAGAATGTGTTCTTTTCTCATGCAGCATAAGCAGAATTGATATAGCTGCATCTTGAGAGGAAAATATACAATGTGATCCATATAATTTCTGTATTACTTTTTTAGTGATTTAACTGGACAACCAGCATAATAAATGAAATTCTCCAAGTTGGACATGCAAATAATTGTGTTTTGAAGTCACTAAAAAAAAACATGGATTAGTTATCTATAAAGTGCTGTAAATGCAGTTTACTTGTCTTGCCAGGTTATTATTTTGTTTGCAAACTTTAACAACAGGTTATTTTCAATAAATAGCCTGTGCACATCCACATTGGTTAGAGTTAGAGTTTCAAAACCCAAACATGGTTTCAAACATGGTCATCAGTCTCAGCCATTAGATAAAGTGTGACCAATTGACAAAACGCTACTGTGATAAGCTGGTCAAGATGATCAAGAATACACAGGTCAATATATGGGCAATAATCTGTGCTTTTTAAAATACTATTGGTTGGGTTTAGCGGAGGGAAAGAGTGGGTCAGTCGATCGGTCAGTCAGTCAGTCATTCTGTCAAACAGTCAAGTCAACAGCGGCCTCTGGTAGATTTACAAGAGAACAGCAGGCGCCAATGACACTCGCGAGAGAAATTAGAGATCTCAAAGAGTACACAGCGGCCTCTGGTGGATTCACGAAAACAAAAACTGCCAAAACTTGTATTTCTTGGGACGTATTTGACGCTCTCCAAAAATGTATATAGAGGTATGTTTTCAAAATAAGCCCGGGTTGAGTATATAATAACAAGCATATATGATGGTTTGTTATTTTTTATAAACTCAGTCCCATACTGCTATCTCTAGCATGCAACAACCAACACATCTGTTCGCTTCTGTCTCTGTACACTCTTGAAAGTATAAATCCAAACAGTCTCACAAATATGCTTTCTGTCCCTTAGCAGGAGCTCAAAGGAAATCCCTTTTAATCTGCATTCTCTGCTCTCATGCTTAAAAAAAAATCTTCTATAATGAAATCACACATGAGAGACACATGGGGCCCATATGTTTCAGCCAATTTGCCCTATTACAAAGTTCTTTCTAAGACAACTCTTTGATTAAGATACTAACTTGCTCCAGGCTTTCCAAATACAGCTCTTTATTGTGTTTTACAAAGCTATTACTTCCTCTTTTGAGATTAGGCGAACCAAAGCATGTAGAGCATGAAGAGAAAGAAATTATGATTTTTTATTTAGTTATTTGTGTTTTGCATCTGCATGCCAAGTGACCTCTTAATGCAATGCTTCAATGTCATGCGTCTGTTTAATTGATTTATGAGCTGCACTGTTGAGCCGGACACTGCAGTCACTTTGATGTGGTGTGCTGTTCTTGAAACACTTTGCTCTCAGCATGTAGAGGAGAATGAAAGACATTTGCAACAGATTAAGACTTTTTAAATAAATGATAAAAGTCACTGTTTTTTAACTGAGTAAATGAATATTCTATTCTACTATATATCTTAATTCATAATCCTTCAAAATCACTTCTAAATTGTTTTTTTATTATTATTATTAATGCTAAAAAAAGATTAAATTAAATTAAATTAGTTTAATATTTTTTCAAAAAGTGACTGATTTTTGTTCTTGATATATAAACTAAAACACTTTTGATGTGTTTTGGCCTTACATCTAAACAGCAGTGATTCCAGTTGTATTTCCATTTGAACAAATAGCATGCACATTGAAGTAATTAAACCATGAAGAAAGAGGTGACAAACTATTTTCCGCAGAGAATGGCTGCCAGCCTCTCTGTAGCTTGCTGAGTGAAAGCGTGCTATTCATTCATTCATTCATTTATTTTCCTTCGGCTTGGTCCCTTTATTCATCAGGGGTCGCCACAGTGGAATGATCCACCAACTTATCCAGCATATGTTTTATCCAGCGAATGACCTTCCAGCTGCAACCCAGTACTGGGAAACACCCATACATTCACACAAAAGCTATGGCTAGGTCCATATGGAATCTGCATGCACTGAATTCAGCAGATTTCCACAGATTTTCGCCTATTTTAAGCCCAAAATTGATTCTTTTTATTTACTTGTGGAAATATGTAAATTTATATTTATTCATTTTTAAAATTAATTTCAGCATAATTATTGACTAATATGAAATGTTTATATGATTCATTTACAATTTAGTTTAAGACTTGCTTTGTTTACCCAATAAAGTGGATCTAATTGGATTTGCATTGTAAACATTAAAAGTTAAAAAGGTATTACTTTTTAATTCATTTATTAAGGTTTTAGTTATGATACTCCCAAAATCTTTCCGCATAAATCCACAGATTTTTACCAAAATTCTGTGCAAAAATAGCAAAAAAATCTCCGCAGATTCCATCTGGCCCTAGCTATGGCTAATTTAGTAAATCTAAGTCACCTATACTGCATGTCTTGGGGTAAACCGGAGCACTCAGAGGAAACCCACACAAACAGGCAGAGTCCACGAACATGGACTCAAACAAGCGACATTCTTGCTGTGAGCATCAGTGCTAACCACTGAGCTACACAAAGTAAACTATATATGTTTTTTTTTTTTTTTTTTTTTTTTTTAATCAGGGCAGTAAATATTAGAAACGGGCAACAACTGACACATTTGTATAACATTCCAGCAAGACCCATTATCACCACCGCAGTAGAAAATTAAACAGCATCCATGCTGACTAGGCACGGGACGATAATCGTTTTCATGGTATACTAGAAAAGTCAAGGATTTAAAACCACCAAAACTTTCTGATATACCATTCCTAAGGTACGTTAATCAAAGAGAACAGTTTGATCCAATAGTGCCATCACCTCTACATTAACTACAAAACAATATATTGTGAAAACAACGATGCCATGTGCATGCATAATATGCCTTCATTATATATGCATGTACTTGACAACCAAACTAAAGTCAGAATACAGGTCAAAACTATGTTTGTACTGCTCAAGATTTAGTTTAAAAAAGCAAAGGAAAAACATTTCAGTTTTTAGTGTGCTGCTATTGTGTAAACAAACCCTACTTTTTCAATATTAGATTACTTTTATTACCTGTAGAAGATTAGAATTGCTTAAATTAAAGCAAACTATGATTATGTTTACATCAGTAATCGAATTATTTGCCTTAATCTAAATAGGACAAAAATATGATTTAAGGTGCTTATATGAGTTGCTTTTTAAAAGTTTCTTTCATGAACCTGTTTTACATGATATAGCACATAATTTTTCACTGCACTTTGGCACTTTCACTTTCATTTAGGAACATTGCATGCATGCCCCCATGACAAACGAGATATTGGATGCGAGTATGAACTGCTGGACGAGTGTAGTTTTAATGGATTTTGATACCCCACAGCATACAGGAAAAAAAATCCTCCACATTAAACTATCCTGGCACAAAATGTGCCGAAAATCCTACATGACGGTAATAGTTTGATACAGTGTTTACATGTCTGTACAGCACTTCAATAATGCGACTGAAATCTGCATACTCCACATGTCTTAATTTAATTTCTGTTTAGTTCGATTATGACCTTAATCGGATTAAATTAATCAAAAATTGCTGTTTACATGGTAGACTCTTAATCAGAGTATTGTCTAAATAATATTAAAATCAGATTATTGGTATCCATGTAAACGTACTTTGTGGTATCGAGGTCTAAACTTTCACACTAAACCACCCCCATAGTATATGCCAAAGTATATACTGTATGACACAAGGACTAAAAAAAAGATAGTTGCCCTCTTTATGAGTCCATTATGTCCACATCTGGACAGACTAAACAATCAATACTTTCAAAAGAGAGATCAAACTCCCATAAAGAGCAAGAACAAACACTGAGTGAGAAACCTGTTGTGTGTCCCATATGTTAAAGAGTAAAAGGAAAGGGGGATCAAATAGCATGCACACTGAAGTAATTAAACCGTGAAGAGAGTTGACAAAATGAGAAAATCAAAGGCATGCAGAGGCCATGACATATCACCAAAACAAACCTTCAACTTCACGTTTATTTCATGCTAGTGTCCCGCGTTATGCTCTCAGAAGTCACGATTGACACAAATATTAGAAGGACATCATATCATATCTTATTTTAGCACTCCATTGATCTGAGGAACTGGATAAATGAGACAAAACTATTTAGGGTAATGTTTGTTTAAACAGCGTAGGATGTTACAAGCATAATGTCAGAATGTATTATTACATGGCTCTCTGCAATTGTTGTTTGGTTAATTACAACATTCTAATTAATTAATTATGTAATGTAATGTTTACCATCTAGTATATCTATGATGTGAATTGGGCTGTTATATAAGAATGAAGAGCTTTATTATGTGAAAACAACCACCTAAAAGTAATTATACTGCTTATTAAAGGACTGATTGTCACAAAAATAAACAATTATTAAATGACTACTAGTCACAAAAATAAACAATCAGATACTAACCATTGATCTGAGCAACAATAATTTATCAACTCTTTTTGATTTACGAACAGTTGGATGCAGCCTACATTAACCTATATACTGTTCAGTCACAAGATGGCGCCAAATAGTTAAGAATGGCTCAACAAAAGATAAGCCTTTAAATTTGCATTTAAATCCTGTTTTTTTATGATCCTGTGTTGTTATGTTCAATACTTGTTATCTCGGAATATCGTGAATGAATGAAGTACTGCAGGGAGTCGTGTATTATTGTCCAATAGCGACCACTGAAAGTAAAAACATAGGCTCATCTGGGTATTAGGAATCATCTTGACTGTTAGTAAATATATTTATATGCTTATCTATCATGCCACTGTACTTGAAATTGAGATGACATCTTGCTTCCACTTCGGGCTGTCGATATCAGGCTTCATTCTGCGAGAACAACCGGCTGGAGGTACATTATCCCTTACTTTTTGGCTTAAAGTCATATATTGATTTTGGATTCATCCACCATCAGAAATCACTGACACATGGCAAATAAACAATGGCACAAACATGCAATAAGGAAAGGTCATATCATGCTACAGTACTTTCATACTTATATAAACAACAAAGGCACAGTGAATACCCGGTAAAGGTGATGTCATAACATTAGCAAATCTCTGCTAACTAAGTCTGACTTTACAACCAGTTAACCTTCATTATGGTGCAATCTGAACCTTGACAAGGATTGTATTTCCCACTGGCAAACATTCAGATGCTGACAGACAACCATGTGGCAATGAGCAACACATTGTATATGGTAAACACATGGCTTTGAGGCTCTCTTCCAATTCCTTTGATTAATTTTACATACTGACCTTGTCTATGACACAGCTGCATATGTTCCATACCATGTAAACAATCCGCAGTGCCATGTTTTTTTTAATGATCAAACACAAAGAAAGCATACGAATATGATCACATCTAACTGGATCTCCAGATGTGTAATTTTGTTGGCTTATAAAAATCCCATATATGTTGGCCTACACACAACAACTAACACCTTACCATATGAACACCTTAGTAAGTAACCAATTAGGATTATTCTAGTCACCACAAAGAATATACCAAGTCTTCAACACACAGCATCAACCAATAGAAATAAAATTACCACAAATGGGATTTGGGTAAGAAAGTATGCACAATCATTCACAAGACTACATTTCATCAAATGTATAAAATAATTCACAAGGAAATATAATACGTAATGTCTTACTAGTAAATACAAACTGCTGTAGCATTTTAACTGGAATTGTTAGTAGAACTGAATCTACTCTATAATTGGAATATATTCATTTTAAGTAAAACAAGCTTGCCATACAACTTGAACCAGAAGTTAATAGTGCTGTCTAGTATTGTGATGTACACTCACCGGCCACTTTATTAGGTACACCTAATAAACTTTATTATGTCCAGCTGCTTGTTAACATAAATTTCTAATCAGAAACTGAGCATCTGAGCAACGTGTCAACGCCACAGCCTACCTGAGTAATGTTGCTGACCATGTCCATCCATTTATGACCAGTGTGCCCATCTTCTGATGGCTACTTCCAGTAGGATAATGCACCATGTCATAAAGCGCAAATCATCTCAGACTGGTTTCTTGAACATGACAATGAGTTCACTGTACTCAAATGGCTTCCCCAGTCACCAGATCTCAATCCAATAGAGCACCTTTGGCATGTGACATTCGCATCATGGATGTGTAGCTGACAAAATCTGCAGCAACTGCATGATGCGGTCATGTCAATATGGACCAAAATCTCTGAGGAATACTGGTAGTATCTTGTTGAATCTATGCCACGAAGGATTAAGGCAGATCTGAAGGCAAAAAGGGGGTACAACTCTGTACTAGTAAGGTGTACCTAATAAAGTGGCCGGAACTTGTTTTTAAAATTGAAGACAAACACCTTTTTTTCTCTAAATTAACTTAATTCAAATAGCACTTTTAGGTATGATAACAAAAAAACATAGTGTAGTTTTGATTCTGTGATTTTAAACTGTCTCCTTCCTTGATGATTTTCCCCCCAAATTCTAAATCTCTTTCAGAATTATTTTGCATACAGCTTAATCACTGTAACAAAGAACAACATGTCTTGTACAGTAAGTAAGAGCTTCAGTTCTGTGCTTTATGAACTGTTGCAGCAATGCTTAATTTCCCCTCATTTCCAGAGCAGTGCTCTATCTGATTGGCGACTGCATGCAAACCTTCAGGACTGAAGGAAATTCCTGCTAATGGAGTATCTTAGAACATTCCTCAACAAAGCAAACACATCATATTCAAGCCCCAAGAATAGATCAGGACAATAAGAACTTACAGTATAACTCAAAATTTGTATGCATACATAATCCTAAAATGATAAGAAAGTTTATCACACAGAGATTTTGCCTACTTTTTCAGCAGCTTCCAGTTGTATATTTCCAGTGAAATGTCTCCTTAAGGATTTCAAAAAATTCAGACTTTGAAAAGTTTGATTTGATGAACGTATGAAGGATGACTAACTTATTTTATGCTAGTTTGGTATTTCTTTAGGAGCATTCAAAATGTCCACATACAATAATATAATGAAATATCTGAATTTATATGTGACTTGAAAAAAACTAATTTACTACTAAATTAAATTATCTGCATCCAAAAGTTATTAATTAAAAAAAACAACCATTGCCAATTGACCTGTTAAAATCATTATTAAAAAGTAGTGGTTGTTTTTATCAACATAAACCATTACTCTTAAAAATTAATACAAACACATTGTGACTTTTTTACTAAACAATGAGCTGACCAAAAACCGTTTCCAAATAATTACTTTCCCCACAACTAATGACTCCTCTAAGCATCAAACACACACACACACCCACCCACGACATCAGGGTAACTGTTACATTTAGGCTATACAAATATATCTCCAAAACACAATAGGAATGCAGTGTAATGCCTCTCAGTGAAATAATGAAGCTGTGTACTTACTGCACATCTGCCGGAGCGCGAGCCCACAGACCCTCTGCAGAGTCTGCACGAGCGCATCTGTGCAATGATGTGACCGCTCCTCAGAACCCTTCCCCCCTCTTTAAAGATTGCAAGACTCGAAAACAAAACTGTGCAAAAATAAATAACGCTTTAATATTCACATCATTTATTGACCAAACATGTAATATAAGAAAATAAATATTTAAAAAAACACCATAATAAATATAGTCAAAGTAAAATATAATAATGATAATGACATGAAAATCCAATAAGTGTAACGACTGTTTATACAAAAAAATAATAAAAATTCCTTTATTTAGAATATTTAGAACACAAATCGTTGGATAGATTTACTTTAACACACTGCAGCTCTAAAATCGTTATTATTAATTATAATTTTGAATTTCTATCCTTAAAAAAAAACATTAGCCTTTAGCTGACTTCTGCGTCAAGCGCAAGCGTGTGGTCCTAGTGATTGGTTGGCTTGGTAGCTGTGACGAGTGTGTGGGCACTGGGCCGCGGGCGATGCTGAGAGCTGCAAGTCGATGGAGCGAGTGCTTACAAGTGTCGAGTCCCACGAAGGAACTCCAGGTGGAAACTTTGGTTTTGTGTTTACCTGGTGATTGAAGGTGTTGCACGTCCATCGGTTCCCGCATCTGAATAAGCACGTTTTACAGGAAGGTAGGATTTAGAAAAAACTAATAGGTTATATGCCGAAGCATGCTAATAGGACTTTTAATTTGCCAGTAATCTGAGTTAAGCACTTCCGGCGAACTGTATGCCAATGCGCGTTTGAGGGCTGTTTCTTTAAAAATCACCGACCTCCACTAGCTGAGTGATATCCGATATAAAGTGGGTCTTAGATTGTACAAGAAGCACTGCATTAAATTACATTTTCCCTTGTCATGTCTATATGTTGTTTATGATATGAGCATTTATTTTACCCCGGTATATTCAATGGAGCTTTTGCCCTAGCCTGCCAATTCTGACGGGCTCGTGCGAGTAAACGGCTTTTTGCCTCGTTTAACTTGAGCAACTAAATGAATGTCAAAGTTTATTTAACTGAATGTATTTTATAAAATACATTTTATAATGTAACTGAATGTATGTATTAAATGGTAAAAAGTACACAATGACTGGTCACCGAAAGTTTATCAGTATGGGAAAAACACTTGCTCGGCATATAAGTTACCCTATTACCTGCAAAGAAACTTGGCACTCTGGAAGATAAAAACCTTCTGCCAGCTAGCGTTTAGGAAGTGTTATTACAGAGGAACACAAACAACGCAAAAGTATAAATGCACGACGAACACTCGAAGCAGAAGTATAAACCAGTTTAAGGCTTAATCCATGTGTTCCAAAACAATTATGCATCTTTTGTGCATTTTATTCTGATTCTTCTCCATTTTTGACTCTTCTGTAAAATGATTTAATCTTTTTCAAGTTTTTCAAAATGATATTTTTACAGAGCACAGTGTTTCCTATTTTATTTTTTCTTCTGGAGAAAGAATTTTTTTATTTTAGTTTCACTGAAATAAATAAATAAATGTCAAAATTTATATGGTCAATATTATTAGCTCTGTTAAGAAATTATTTAGTTTGTGATTGGCTACAGAACAAACTGCCATTGTCCCTAATTAGCTTTACTTGTTCATTTAACATAATTAACTTGCACTTAAATTGCACTTTAAGCTAAATACTAATATCTTGCATAACAACTAGAAAAAACAAATTATATACTGTCATCTTGGCAAAACCAATGACTTGTAATGACTTTTTGAAAAAGTCATCACAAATTTTATTACTGCTTATTATTGGCAGCTGTTACAGTTGTTTGGTGACGAGATCTGTTCTCTAGGTTATCGTCTCATTTCAAAATGCTCAGTTCGGATTGTGTGGACTTCGAAGGACCTTTATAGTCTGCATCCTTTGGAGGATGCAGCCTCTGAAATGAGACAGCTAATCAGTCATTAAAACAATTATGTTTAAAAATGCATTCAAAATCTGTTGGGAAATATTTAGGAAAAAAATTGTAATTTCACTGAACGACAAAGGTTGTGTTTTCGTATATGAGCAATTCCAGCGTTATGGATGTAGCATTTGCAGTAAAATCTCAAAACATAAGTTCACAGAGAAGGTATACGTTAAAATTATATTAAACTATATGTTTATATTTTCCAAAACACCTAATCGTAGAGTTATGGGAGCAGAAAAATATCAGTCTGAAAGTGTTTTTTTTTTTTTAAATAAGGGAAATAAACATGCATTATGGATGTGACGAAAAAAGTCTATAAGTTTACAGTATACAACACACTTTGTACAAATTCTTTGAATTAAACTGCACAGCCCAAAAGAAACAATGCTAATCAAAAGAATAAGAGTTGCTCTCTATAGAACAAACATGATTGATTTTTTATTTTATTTCAGATTGTTACATTTATGAAGAAAATGCTTTGTTATGGATGTGCCAGATGTAAAATTGGCACTTGTGTGATTTTGGTAAATCAAATATAGTTTAAAAACATTAACAGATACATTTTTGAGTATTTTTAAAGCACTGTAAAATACTTGCTCACACAAAAAACCTAGAAACCGTTTTGATATTTTAGTGAAAACTTTATTTTTGTCATGGCAAGGTTAACCTTTGCATGGAATTGCTCATATTTACTAAAATATACTTGTTAGTATGGTGGCAAAATGTGGCAAAAGTCTTGCATGTTACATTTTCCCACAATATTAATCACACATAAGGATTTAATATAATGTCTGGTGACTCAATAATGAACTGGTGGTCTTGTCATCAGGGACCACATTTTAGTTAAATGAGAACACAGACTTTTCCTCTTAAACCCCTCCGACTTAAGCCATATATCTTGGGAAAATGCCAGACAGCAACACATGCCTTCACCTTAAGATGTGCTGGCTTTAGTCAAACCCTGCCCTGGAGGTTATCTTAGAGACTGTAGAGTCAAAACAGTCACATGCAAAGGTCAATAAAAAAGGATGGATTATCATGGAATAAATTATGGTTGTTGTATAAAGAAGCCCACTCATGTGAATATAGTACATTTTCACTGATTTTAAAGGGTAATTTAGGCTATTGCAGGAGCAGTTGAAGAAGTCATGCAAAGATAGTTGACAAACACAAAAATGTTTGCGTTTTACCATAACGCATCAATTCCCTGTGTTAAAAAAGGTTTCTTATGTCAGAACATGAGCTCTTTCTGTAAAATGAGAACAGGCATCTCCTACACATAGTCCAAATACCATAAGTGTTTGCTGTTTTAGACCGCAAATATTGGAAAGAACTAGCAAAAAAATAGAAATATGAGAAGTAATGTTATAAAATAAGTACACAATCTCACTGCATTTCATTTAAGGGGGGCTATTGTGCAAAAATCACTTTTATAAGGGTTCTAAACACTGTTGTGTGGCAAAATTCTGTGAATATAACCAGTACTACTTATGGTAAAAAAATTTATAAAATTTATTTTTCCTAATCACACCTCATTATAACAGTCTGCAGAAAGACTTTAATTGACATTCTCCCCTTGGACATGTCATCAGAAGGGGAAAGTCCCGCTCATTACTGACAATCTCTCCCTCATTAGCATAGGACATTAAAGTTGTTTTAAAAGTCTGCAACTATGCTGACATATAGGCATTTGTAGCTCCGCACTCTTTTGAAATAAGCACAATCTCATTTGAATTTAAAGCGACAGTCACCAAAATGGCACAATTAGAATAAAAGCCTAAAACCCCAAAAAGCCACATACATACTCTACGATCATCAGAGACTTTTTTAGACCTTGTAAAAAGGGGTATAATAGGTCCCCTTTAAATATTTTATGTTGGGGGCTATTCATATGAAAGTTATGTTTAGGGCCAGGGTTAGTGACAGGACTTCTTGCTTAATTGTCCTTTTTTTTGTATAATGTGATTTTAATACAAATTAGCCACAAATTAACCAAAACCTAAAACAATTATGCTTAAAGGGTCATGACACCCCCTACTTTCGGTTCAGGTCTACCTCAGAATTTTTTTTTCAAAAGATGCATCATAATGGGCGTGGAGCTCTGCGAGCAACGGGCATGAGTGGGCGTGGCCAGCAGGGTGAAGGAGGGGAGCGAACAACTGTTGTCAGTCGGCTCACAAAATGAGACTCAAACCGTGAGGAGACGCATGACTTTATAGTTTACAGAGTTAAAATGCAAAGAAATATACAGTAATTTAGTGCCCTGCTACGTTTGTTATTCGTAATTTCATATACAGATAACCACAATTTATATCATTATAAAGATAATCGTGTTTATATAAACACTATAAATCATAGGTCTGAATGCTGACTTAGTGCAGCAGGTCTCTTGCCCTGTCTATGTTAACCATGAGCCCTGTTGGTAATGTAGAGGATTTAGGCAAACACTGCAGCACAGTGATGTGTCTAAATGTGAATGAACTCCTGATAAAAGACAACGTCCACCATTCTCTAATTCTCGTACTGCTCTCCCGACAAAGTGCTTGCTGCACACAAACAGCTTTGCTGTATCGGCCCTGACAGCATCGCGGGCAAAAACATACACCGTGGATCATGGAAGCAAACACATACAACCCTTCATGAACATCTGCCGTGTTGCCGTGGGTTCGTGTCTCACAGGTCTGCCTTGGCTTTGGAAAGCACGTGCAGTCATGAATAATTAAGAAGCCGGCTCTTCTCATAGGATAAGAAAACTCCGCTATGAATATTAATGAGAAACTGACGCGTCATCTTTGCACTTACAGTTTTGCGTTATATCGCCAATTTTGATCCCGCCCCATAAATCATTCTAAACCCGGAAGCTAAAATTATCTGACAAAAGCTCAAACTGATCCAGTTTTTCCTACAATTAAAGGTGACAGGTGCTAACATTGTCTTAACTGATGCTGAACACACAAAAATGTTAAAATCTCAACAACAAAAAAAGTACTCGAGGGTTTCGTGAACCTTTAAGAAGCATGTTTTGTTGACAAAAACAAACTCAACTAATTAGGATTATTTGTATATGGTTTTGACCATTGACATTTTTAATGAAAGTGTTTGTGTTTAAATACA